TTAAGATTTTGTTATCAAATATAGAATAGAATAGAATAGAATAATACTTTAATGCCTTTTCAGGCATTTGTGTTACATCAGCAGAGCTACTGACACATTAGAGAGATACCAAACATATTTACATAAATTCTTTGATTTAGGTATCTTCACATTTGTTTAAGAGAGATATGGTACTTGGAATAAAGGATGTACGGGCTCTCTTAGTTTTCACAATTGGAACTTTGTAGCGGCGGCCTGAAGGTGAGGTGAGGTGAGGTGAAATTGGGTTTAACATCGTGCTTGGGAATATTTCGCTCATATGACGACGTGCATGCGTGTGTATGTGTATGTGCGGCTGCTTGTACTAGCCCAGACTTAAGCTGGTTTTATAGTGCTAGCCCACTGAGATAACATGCCGCAGTGAAGCATGAATACCCCACTCAGACACATTATACTGACTCTGAGCCGACCAGTCCTTGTTGTACCCATTAATGCCGAGCGCCAAGCAGGGACTAACAGGTACCATATTTTAACGTCTTTTGGTATGACGCCGGCCTGAAGGGAGGAGGTTGTATTCCGAATTTAAGGAGTGAGTACGGTCAGATATGATTTTGACAGCTTGATTCATGATTTGCCGCTCATATATTGATGATAAACATTCAAATCTACCACTGTAAATGAGGACACTTCAGAATATTTTTACAATGCACGGTCTGCAAAAATAGGATCATTCCATTGTTTGGTTGGATGGTTGTTTGTTGTTTAACGGCCCATTCAGCATTATTCCAGCTATATGTTGGCGGTCCGTAAATAATCGAGTCTTGGCCAGACAATCCAGTGATCAGCATCATGAACCTGACCACCCGATCCTGTTAGTCGCCTATTACGACAAGCATGGGTTGCTGAAGACCAATTCTACCCCGGATCTTCACGGGTAGGCCGTGCTAGTATTGATCTTCAGCAACGCATGTGTCGTAAGAGGTGACGAACAAAATTTGATGGTCGGGTGGCTGATGCACGTCATCGTATCCCAATCGTATAGATTGATACTGATAGTGAAAATCACCGTATTTTCTGTTCCAGACTTTATTATTATTAGACTTACCCATGAAGGTCCGGGTTAGAATTGGTCTTCAGCAACCCAATTGCGTAGATCGATGCTGATGATGTCGATCACTGGATTGTTTGGTCAAGACTCAAATATTTACAGACCGCCGCCATATAGCTAGAATATTGCTGAGTGAGGCGTTAAATGAGTGAGTGAGTTTAGTTTTACGCCGCACTCAGCAATATACCAGCTATATGGCGGCGGTCTGTAAATAATGGAGTCTGAACCAGACAATCCAGTGATCAACAGCATGAGCATCGATCTGCGCAATTGGGAACCGATGACACGTGTCAACCAAGTCAGCGAGCCTGACCACCCGATCCCGTTAGTCGCCTCTTTCAACAAGCAGGGGTTACTGGATATCAACATTCTAACCCGAACCTTCACGGGTCAGTGAGGCGTTAAACAAAGAAATATTATCAGACTGCCGTAAAACAGCTTAAATATTACTCAGTGGGACTTTAAACAAGAAACTTTTTTTTTTCAGAATCGGATCTCGACACGTATGACGTCATGAAGAGGGATATAGTAAAAGACGAGGGACATACTTTGGGATATTTTATTTCATTCTCATATTACATGAATAATATGTAAAGTCTCAATAGATATCACCATGAGAATGTTAAATACATTTCATTGTATAAGTATCTGTGTAAATCATATCAGAACTTTTGCCAACTATCTTACCTTCAAAACAGGCGAGTCCAGACTCGGTAACGATGCACTGACAAAACCACACAAAGTGCTCTAGCCACCAGTCGATGTGCACAAGAAACCACAAATACACGGAAGGGTAATAAGATTTTGTAAGAAAGCAGATTATGTATGACGGAAATGTATTCAAAGACCTATATTCTCAGTGTACATAAGGAAAAGACTTCGAAAAATATTATTAGATTTTAGAAAAACGGAATGTAGTCCTCATCTTAAAGCTAAAAACCAATTACATCGTTGTTAAGAACAACTTGAAAGAGATATACAAAGAAAATTGCCATTCTAAAGGCTATGCCGGTTAATATCATTGCATACTTTGAAGGTACCCTACATATATCCCCCTTCCTTAATAACAATAATTATGTTGACCAAAATATATGTATGCAACAATAAGGGAATATGAACAGTATGCCCCAACCCCCAAAGTATGAAAGTATGCAAATCTTATCTTTATAATATGATAACTGATTGTTGTTTAGTAGTTTCTATGGATCGTAAAACCATTGACTTTGATCGGTTAGATTTTAACTTAATTTATACAATTTAGTTGTATTCTCTTACCAGTAGGCTGTTAATTTGCTAAAGTCGAAAAAGGGAAACATACATGTACCAAAAATACCTTAAAGTAATAAATTCTTGCTTTAAATCGTTAAAAGAAACCTACACAGTATATTGTCGCTGAACAAAATACTAAACTCAATAGAGACAAATGAGTGCTTCTCAGTGTAGAGATCATATAACGCTAAGATTAGCGAGTCGCTGAGTGAGTACGATTTTACGCCGCTTTTGGCAGTATTCCAGCAATATGAGGACGGGAAGGCCAGAATGGAATTAATGTTCCAAGCACTCAGACCGAACGAATGATGTACCGCTCGGTTAGATGAATAAACAGGTACACAGTGTATATTGTTTGGCCAAATTTGTCAGTGACAAATATACAAGGAAAAGTGTGACCTGACGGGAGAGTTTGTGCAATACAAGAAACACAAGTGCCATATGGTGAATACAATGCCAGAATGGGGTGGAACCACGGTTACAATACTGTTACAAAGAGTACAATAGTGAGTGAGTTTAGTTTTACGCCGCACTCAGCAATATTCCAGCTATATGGCGGCGGTCTGTAAATAATCAAGTCTGGACCATACAATCCAGTGATCAAAAGCATGAGCATTGATCTTCGCAATTGGGATACGATTACATGTGTCAACCAAGTCAGCGAGCCTGACCACCCGATCCTGTTAGTCGCCTCTTACGACAAGCATGGGTTACTGAAGATCAATTCTAACCCGGATCTTCACGGGTGAGTACAATAGTAAATAGCATGGTTGCATTACAGTTATAAAAAAATGCAATCGTAAATAGCAAGGTTACAATTATTCTATGAAGAGCACAACAGAAAATAACATGGGTGAAATGCAGTTATAAAGAAAGAGTTAAGATAAAAATGAAATACATTTGTGATATAGAGTATACACAGTGACAATGTGGAAACAGAAAAGATACCGTTGGAGAAAGGGTGGTAATAGAGACGAAACAAGTCGGCAGTGCTGCCAATACATTGGTGTGGTGTTTTGCAGGGTGAGTGAGTTCGTTCGGTTTTACGCCACTTTTAGCCATATTGCAGCAATATCTCGGCGGGGGACACCAGAAATAAGCTTCACACATTGTACCCATGTGGGGAATCGAACCCGGGTCTTCGGCGTGACGAGCGAACGCTTTTACCACTAGGCTACCCAATCGCCCCTGTTTTGCAGGGAGCAGTAAATACTTATGTAACACGATTGCAATGGGGTTTGGCAAGATCCACTTTATCTCTGTAAATACAGACATGTTGTGTTTAACATAGTGGGTACATAATACAGTTGAACTTCTTCAGAAGCTGGTATGATGAAGATGGATACTTTTTTTAAGGATAGACACCTTCTTTATTGAAATAGATGTGACGTTTCGGTTTAGATCCTAAAACCATTTGCTTGATAACGGTGTTTGGATCTACACTGAAACGTCGCATTTATTGTAATAAAGAAGTTGTTTATCCATAAAAATTGTTCCTCTTCAATATAGTTGAAATTGAAAAGAAGCATCTTTTTGATGTGGTTTTAAAACAGTCGAAATGGTTTGAAAGATTTGCAATGAAGAAACAGTTGGACGTATTGGTTTCAAATACCAGTTTTGGTGATATTTCAATTCAACATTGCAACTCACAGAAACATTTATGTTTAACACGTACTCCATACATAGTTTATACAGTTGCGACAATGGATACAGCTTTGTAACACCATTTAACACCAATATATCCCAACTGGTTATACTTTCAGAACAGGAAGTTGTCTTATGACTGTCAACAGTATGAATCACAGAATTGCTAGCACTTTCACAAGGTCATCAGTCTAAGTAAACTTAGGCTCAGTATTATTCGTTACACTGCTATACTGAGTCTAACAAAACCTTGTGGAAGGTCGCGTCAGGTAACCTTTGCAATTGACCAATCAGAACATAGCTTACCAAATCGCGGAAGTGGACATTCGCACATACCTTTTGAACTTTTACCTCGAAAAAGTTTGTACCCGAACGATTCCGAATGCTATTTTCCGTACGATCGGTTCTTAGTGATGCACGCCACAGCAGTAAGTAAACATTCGCTGAAAATAGCGTTTTGTCAGTATTAAAGCATGTCAACTTGCGGAAATATTAGCTAATTATAACCATGTCAACAGAAACCCCAAAGCGTATATACTGCAGGTCAAATATCAGTGTTTTATGCGGATTTCCATTTGTTGGGAGATCAGTGTTGGCGACCGGGGACGAGAAAATACACTTTGTAAGTCCCGCCGAACCCTAAATAGTAGCCGTTGTCTGATTGGTTAAATCCGTTCGGCCGTCTCGCCTTTGATTGGACGGTCATAGGTCGCTGAAAGGTTACTGACGCGACCTTCCATAAGGTTTTGTTAGACTCAGTATAGCAGTGTAACGAATAATACTGAATCTAAGTTTACTTACACTGACAAGGTCTGTAATATCAACATATTTAACGTAAATAATTTCATTCCTGCAAATTAGCATCCGTGACAAATTTGACAAGGTATAATAAATATATTGTTCAAAGACAAAAATTGAGAACAAAGGAAAAACGTCTTGATAATGCAAATGCATAGCACAGTCATAATTTCATTTATACTTATTTCATAGCAATGCGTAAAATTTCATCCCACTGACTTGTCGGTCAGCCAGTCTAAACCGACATGTTCTTTGTAACAGCCTCAGCATGAAAGGTCCAGGCTCAAGTACGTTTGACAGTAAGATGGCATTAGTCCAAACCATTGAGATTCCGGAAGTTGTCACTGATGGAAGCGATGTCGGGGAAGCTGTATTGGAAGGTTTCTGTGAACGCACGGACTTCCTGAAGGCACCGATCAAAGCGTCCCCTGGTGCAATAGATCCCCGGGGGTAGTAGTTGTCGTCGCAGACCCCCAGAACACCGACAGCTGTTTTCCAAGCACAGAGAGCAAGCAGCGAGGGGCTATACTGGCAGAGCTGGTAGTCTTGTAGCGACATCTCTAGGATACATCGGGACATGGCGCGGCATTGCCTGCATACAGATTCACAACCGTTAGTTTCATGTTTATGGTGGGGAGTGAGTGAGTGAGTTTAGTTTTACGCCGCTTTTAGCAATATTCCAGCAATATCACAGCGGGGGCCACCAGAAATGGGCTTCACACATTGTGCCCATGTTGGGAATCGAACCCGGGTCTTAGGCGTGACGAGCGAACGCTTTAATCACTAGGCTACCCCACCGCCCCTTATGGTGGGGAAAGACGTTTTGTTTGTTGACATGTTTGTGTGCTGTTAATCACATTCAGCAATATTCCAGCTACGAGACAGTGGTTTGTTAACAGTCGAGTGAACACAAGACAATCAAGTGGTTAATATCATGAGCAACGATGAGCAACTGGGATTGTTTGTTTCAATCAGAAGTGTACGTTTTCAGAGACTCTGTCTTGTAACGACCCCGGATGAATATAATCAATATCAGTGTCTTTCAACAATCGTTATTGTTGCGTGAGTGAATATATTAAATATAAGAATACCTTAAAAGAGTCTTTAAAGGGAATTATGGGATCGAAGATGTTTTGCTCATACTCGCATTATTTTATCATCTATTTAGCATGCGCCACATTCCACTCACGAGTGAATATTCATGGCGCTACATTATTAGTACTTCGGTAGGTGGATCTATGTGCACTTGAATTATATTCTCAGCTCCCTGGGAAGTATACCAAACTCATCCTACCGGGTACCCTTTCGTTGTTTTATAAAAGACATTTCGAACAAAGTCACTTAACTAAAGAGACACCACGACATATTACATGTGTTACACTGATAGGCTGGACTGAATCTCCAGAAACTCTCATGGGTCAAGACTCCATCACCCACCCACGTACTCTCCTCCAGCCGCCCCGCTTAACGTCACCTGATTTGGGATATGTGCGTAGTTCTACGGACCAGGTAATACGCCAAATGGCAAGGTGACGAATCTTCATCAACGGACGAGATGGACTATTTCTGGGGAAAGTGCCACACAGGTAAACCGGGCTAATCATTCTTCCTGTAATACCTGCAGCAATGGAGATACACTTATTCCAGTGTATGAAATAAGGCCCGTCCTACCGCCCGAGACGGGTTAGATTTCAGACGGACGGTCTAGATTTACAGCTAGCCAGCCCGATGGTCTGGGAAAAACTTAGATAACGTTATATACATCGGAGTCTGGTGTCTGGTCTGGTTATATCCATTTTGGACTGGTAACATTTTGAAGTTACCAGCCTGATGTCTGGCTGGGGTTTTGGCTGATTTCATACACTGCTTATTCTCAGTGTAATCCCGACACCACTTCCGCGTGTAGTGTAATTTGAAAGTGAAATGAGTTCTTAACGTTACTAAAACACTCTCAATACAGATTGACTACGTGTCACACGAGATGTGACGTGAAAAGAAATAGGGTTTAATCTCCCGCTCATGACTATTACACAAACAAAGCGACGTGCATGTGTGGCTATTTGTACTACTCAGGATTTACATCGGTCCACTGTAATGTCCCACTGACACAGCATGTCGGGATTAAAAGGGATACCATACCCAGACACATTAAACTGCTTGTTGTATACCCCACATGTATGGCACCAGGCTGGGCAACAACAACTACAACACTTTGGTATGACACGGCCAAGGACTCGAACTAGCGACTGTTCACAGGGCAAACGCTCTTCCCACTGGATAAAAATCAGGCGGCAGTTGCATGACTGGAACTAATTCCAACATGGCGTCCCTCCAGTCCAGACCGAAGTGAATAGGTTTGTGACAAGGTTAATGAATCCCAAACTACAATAATCATGGAAGATGGCACACACATAACAATATTACAAAAGCTGTTACCACAGATCTAACATGTTCCTTATATCTGAAGGATGAACAAAATTATCGATTTCTCCAAAAGACCTGACTGTTAGTGAGAGAGTGAGACATTTGTGTTAGCTTTATGCGGGAGTGAAGTGCAAATTACGCAATTCGACGATATAAAGCATATTGGTGACCCCACGATCTGATGATAACAACAAACGGATCCTACCACCTCAACACACGGATCCTTCCACCTCAACACACGGATCCTCAAACCAAACGTAGCAAACACTGTGTGTAAAGGCTCCGTGAGGTAGCCTACCGGGTAAACCGGTCGCTCGTCACGCTGATGTCCTGGGTTCTATTCCTCTCATGGGCAGTATGTATAACGCTTATTTCTGGTGTCCCCGCTGTGGTATTTTTGGAATATTGCTAAAAGCGGAATAAAACCATATTGACTCACTAAGCTAGGAGGAACTTTCAATAATTTCGTGCTTGATAGGAAAGGTCATACATATGTGAACACTAAAAGGCAGAATTAATAGGGAGTTCAACACAACAGGCATGTGCATTACAACATTACACATTGATGAATGCATAACTGGCTCCATAAAGACAGAAAATACTCTTTCGACATGATTGCCAAGGCACTTTTAGCAGCCACAAGGACACACGGAGATCGATGGACACACGGAGATCAAAGGTTAGGGTTGTTTCAAGTATCACAGCAGTCAAACGTATGTAGCATGTGTTACTAGGTACGCCAGACACATACTGTTCATCAACTGTCATAGGGATAACTGAAATCAGGCTATGGGTAGAGATAAATTTTCAACTTGGTGATAATGACTGAGATGATTGGCCCAATGATTAGGCGGTAATTAAGTACCAAATGAAACAACACCTAAAAACAGTATGACAAGCCAGAAACATTAACACAATGACAAGCCAGGAACCTTCACATAGTGACAAGCCAGGAACCTTCACACAGTGACAAGCCAGGAACCTTCACACAGTGACACTGTTGAAGCAGAGATAACACACTGACAAGCCAGGAACCTTCACACAATGACAAGCCAGGAACCTTCACATAGTGACAAGCCAGGAACCTTCACATAGTGACACTGTTGGAACAGTGATAACACACTGACAAGCCAGGAACCTTCACACACTGACAAGCCAGGATCCTTCACACAGTGACACTGTTGGAACAGAGAAACAGAGATAACACACTGACAAGCCAGGAACCTTCACACAGTGACAAGCCAGGAACCTTCACATAGTGACACTGTTGGAACAGAGATAACACACTGACAAGCCAGGAACCTTCACACACTGACAAGCCAGGAACCTTCACACAGTGACACTGTTGGAACAGAGATAACACACTGACAAGCCAGGAACCTTCACACAATGACAAGCCAGGAACCTTCACATAGTGACACTGTTGGAACAGAGATAACACACTGACAAGCCAGGAACCTTCACACAGTGACACTGCTGGACATAGTGACAAGCCAGGAACCTTCACATAGTGTCACTGCTTGATCAGAGATAACACACTGACAAGCCAGGAACCTTCACATAGTGACACTGCTGGAACAGAGAAAACACAATGACAAGCCAGGAACCTGTACATAGTGACACGCAGAGATAACACAATGACAAACCAGGAACCTTTACATAGTGACACTGTTAGAGCAGATATAACACAATGACAAGCCAGGAACCTGTACATAGTGACACTGTTGGAGCAGAGATAACACAATGAGAAGCCAGGAACCTTCACATAGTGACACTGCTGGAACAGAGAAAACGCAATGACAAGCCAGAAAACGCAATGACAAGCCAGGAACCTGTACATAGTGACACTGTTGGAGCAGAGATAACACAATGACAAGCCAGGAACCTGTACATAGTGACACTGTTGGAGCAGAAATAACACACTGACAAGCCAGGAACCTGTATATAGTGACACTGTTGGAGCAGAGATAACACAATGACAAGCCAGGAACCTTCACATAGTGACACTGTTAGAGCAGAAATAACACAATGACAAGCCAGGAACCTTCATATAGTGACACTGCTGGAACAGATAAAACGCAATGACAAACCAGGAACCTTCACATAGTGAGACTGTTAGAGCAGAAATAACACAATGACAAGCCAGGAACCTTCACATAGTGACACTGCTGGAACAGAGATAACACACTGACAAGCCATGAACTTTCACATAGTGACACTGTTAGAGCAGAGATAACACAATGACAAGCCAAGAACCTTCACATAGTGACACTGTTGGAGCAGAGAAATTACAATGACAAGCCAGGAACCTTCACATAGTGACAATGAGGGAACAAAGATAGCACATCCAAGGAACTTTCACATGGGGGTACTGGTTGAACAGGGACAGCACTATGACTGTTGGAACAGAGGCAATGCAACGACAAGCCAGAAACCCATACGGGTGACACTGCTGGAACAGAGCCAAGACCCTTTCTGTTGCTTGAATTGAGGTGTCAATGATAAATGGACACGGGTCATCACGAATGAGGTAAGGTGATGCCCCAGGGATAGTTGTACTCGTATCTGTGCCACATAAAAGAAACAAGGAACAGACAAGTTGACTGAAATGTGGAACATGGCCGTGTTCAACCATGATTTGGAAGCTTAAGGAGTTGTATCGCTGACAGTACCAATACCCATCACGCACGTGACTGAATGCTGACAGAACAGACAACCGGACAGATAAACCACTGACAATATTAGCAATATGTACTCTATAGACATGAATCAGTCCCTTTAACCTACCTCGAGTTTTAGTCTCTTAAATGAAAGTTTTGGATCTTGAAATCTTTTTCAAAAACATTTACTGCACACGGTAATATTCAAGTTACATGGCAGGATCCTGTATATAATCGATCCTGGGGACAAGAGAATCGAGTGGCCGACATCATGAACATCGATCTTCGCAAATGGGATACGACGTCATCAATCAACCGAGCCTAAACACGCGATCCCGTTAGTCACCCCTAAGGCAAAGCATGATTCGCAGTATCAGAAACTAAAGAACTCTAGACTTACAAAGAATCGCATATTTGCTAGAGATACTTTGCACCCTACCCCGTCCGGATTTGTGAGGGGAATACCACTTCCACCTCCCCTCCCACAAGTCACCCATCCACACGAAGAGGGTCAAATGATCAAATTGGGCACTTGGATGACGTGTCATCATATAACAAAAGCCTGTATAGTCTTTTATGTTATGCACAATCACTTGCGGGCGAGTATACCAACCTACCTGAGTGATTATCTATGAGTATGACAACCGAGGGAAATAGAACGGCAATTTGGATAGGTGAATATGGGTAAGGTATGGGTGGGCCAACATCTTCTGATACAAAAGGATGGATGTAAGAGAGGACAATGGAGAGGACACTGAATGTATGAGAATACACACTGTTAATCCGGGGGATAATATCGGTCAATGTCAATCATCAACGCAATTTGTAGGCCTGACCTTAGATGAACGCGCAATACAGTTTTTAAAGCATTATATTTCACCTTTACAATTCCAGGCTACAACGTTAAATGAACTTTAATACACCCCAAAGATGCTTGTGCATAGGAGTTCCAATATGTTCACAACAGTTATTAAGCATATTATGTTCAGTATATACTTGTACAAAGTTCGGCCTGCCGGTGATACATACGTACATACACAAAATAGAGACAGAAGATAAAGTCACACCGCGTTTCACAAGAGACAATGACGAAACAAGTATAACATTTTTACACTCTTAGTAGGCATGGGGGGGGGGGAGGGAGCAAGGTGGTTAAAGCGTTGGCTCGTCACGCCGAAGACCCGGGTTCGAATCCCCACATGGGTACATTGTGTGAAGCCCATTTCTGGTGTCCCCCGCCGTGATGTTGCCGGAATATTGCTATAAGCGGCGTAAAACCAACTCAGTCAGTCAGTCAGTAGGCATGGGTTTGATATTTGTTTGGTGTTTTATATATCTCGCCCACAGATTCTTTTATAGAGACTAGTACATGAGTGGCCTATGTTTGACACTGCTTTGAAAGTTTGACTGTTTGTTTGTTTGTGTGTTGTTTAACGCCGTACTGCAGACCATATGACGGTCAATATATAATAAACCATCCAGTGGTTCATATCTTGAGCATTGATCTCAGCAATTCGGATACGATCGCGTTCAGTTATCTTCTTTGAGATGCATTTTAGTAGTTGTATTGGTGAAGGAAAACAAATTGTATGGAGAGTTAACTTCTTTATTGCAATGAGTGTTACGTTTCGGTGTAGGTACTAACACCGTTATCAAGCAAGTGATATCAATTATATCAATTTGAATCAGAACGAGGTAGGGAAGTAAAAGGTGCTTTAAGACGTTGAAAGTGTTTACTATTTTCACTTCTGTCACTTCGATTGTTAACTTTGTATGTTTAGGTTATTTCAAAAGTGAGGTATGTTGAATCTTAATCGACTTTTGTAAAGGTTTGGGAACTTAAAACCAAGAGGAAAAACCATCAAAACAAGAAAGCTGGAAGTGAGAGGTGTGAACAACATGTCATCCGTAAATATATTACCGTTCACGCATTCGCTAAATTCACATACACACCCTAACACTTTATTTTGGGATTAAGATTTAAGAATATTTATATCTTAACGGATATCGAGCCTTTAAGCTGCTCCCTTTATAGAAAAAGCCGGAAAATGTAAGGAGGGTATTATATATTAACGTTGTTTCATCCTCTTCCACAGACGTTATTCTTTACAGTCATTACTGAATCTTCAGCATTAAACATCCATCTCATGACTGTTTTTCACCCTCCTCCTTTCCACATTATATAAATAATGTCAATTTCATTCAAAGCGTCAAAATGTTAATAATTGAGAAAGTGACACTCTTTAACGAGGGGGCAAGAGTGCACTTTTGAAGTAGGCGAACGTTTATTTAGACATTTCAAGTGTGATTTCAAAACTAAATTTGTACTTTTTTCTCTAAACTAACGAAGCACATGCTTCAAGAGACGGTTACTAAATTAAAGCACTTGAAGTGGAGAAGGTGCTCACTCTGTTTGTATGCTACAAGGTCTGTGATTCAAGTGTCACACCAGAGCGACTCCATAACGCGAACAACCAAACTTAAATCAATTCATCCCCGTCGAACCAAGCCTTCCACACCATTAGACTTTCTAGCCTCTTAATAAGCATACAAGAGTTGCCTCAATCCATGTTGGCGACACAAAGACAGCAATAACTGGAGAATAATGGCTCAACACTCGTCCGGAGCCGCCAAGTAGAGGGGGGAGGGGCCGAGACGCTGCCACAAACACGATGTGTTAGACCTAGTCTTCTTCTCTTCAAATGTACAAATACAGCCAATAACCAGGCTGAATAACATCTGAACGGGCAAAAAGAAGCACTTGAGAAATTGTGTGCGCCGTAATCACGGCCCAGCAGAGAGGTAGTCAATTAGCAAAGGGGATTCAGATCTGTCAATGCGTGTCATCCGTCTTAGAAAACTTTGGATTTATTTTTTTCAAATTGTTCTAGAGCGAAATATGTACGTTATTTTCCTCCCGACTGCCTACCATTGTAAGCACGGACACGCTAATCATTGGACACACCAGGGGGCGCTGTGCCTGTGTTTAGCAGTGCCCCCTACCGGGTTACCTGGAGGCTATTTTCCAGACAACTCTTGTTTAGATGGGGCATCTCCAGTTACTAATACTTTAAAAATTACACGATAATTTACAATATTTTGTTCACTTACATAAGTGGCATTAGTACGATGGCCTGAAGCCAATGAACTAGCTCGTACCATAACGAACTCGGCCCCGCCTCTTTATCATCTCGGCCTCTTCCCCTTATTCATGCCTGAACTTAATGTGCACAAAAACATCCTTATAAAAGAGATTTCCTGTTTTCAATTCAACCACTTAGGACACAGTGGCTGGACTGTTACTGAGAAACGAACTTTAGAATTCGTCTATGAAATGCTGACTTCTTGAAGACAACGAGATCGTCGAGAGGTCCACAAGGCACACTTGAGTCGGTTAAGTTTGTATTGCTCGACAAATATTGAATACATAGGAATGCAAACATTATTTTAATATTTGTATGCTGTCATCAAGCAGTTCAATGTCAGTATTCATCTTGTAGATCATCACAAGACACTTGATCACTACACATGGGGCAAAGTATTCTCGGTTTCCAAAACACCTGTATCTACCTTCTTGGTGTAAGGGTACCCCCGCTGGTTGAAATTTCGTTGGACGTTTCAAGCATTTTCAACTGTAGTTTTCACGTATCACGAAACAATTTAGAAAATACACTAACATTTTTGTGCCATGAAAAGGTCAGCAATATAACAGCTAAGTTGATTATTGAAAAATGTCCCTGTTCGATTGCTTTGTAAACTGTACTCAACAAAATTTCAGCTATATTAAATCGGGCTGTCAATAATCGAGTATGGGCCAGTGGTTGATATAATGAGCACCGATTGCTGGATAGGAAGACCAAGTCAGCAATCCTGAGAGATGCGGGGATTTATACCCTCCCCAGGAATCTTTACAGAACAGTAGGGTGAAGGTTCCGTGGAGCATTGAAATTGATTACTGCAGCTTGAAGCTTTCCTGACAGCGCTCGCAAACCGCTGTCACATCTTGCTATGTCCATTCAATATAATGTACAGATTTCTTTTACTCTTTTATTTTTGACGAGTCTACACATCTAACTAAACATCTTTAATAGAATGGTTTAGTTTCACTGAGAAAATATCCAAAAACACGTAACACTATTTCGATTTGCGTAGCGATCCTTTGTTTACATAGGTTGTACGGCTCCACGTGCTGTCATCGAAGCTGATGGAGAGCAAACGATGCAGCCAGTTTGATATCTAAATATGTACTGTCATAGACCTTACTGTCGCAGTTGTGGAAGAATATATATGTAACAATGTAAAACATTATGAAGAGAGCGCCGAAAAGCTTTCGTGAGTCCAGACTCTTCTTTTTATAAATATGCGCGTTTGATTACAAACAAGAGAAAAGTCCGGTCACGTGATATGCAAATTAGCCTGTGGCAGTGATTTTATGTTAAAGTCATCGCTGTGCCGGAGTGTGTAGATTTTGCTGACAAGCAAAACAGATTTAGAGTTATCTCCCTTCCATCGATTTGCATTCGCAAGACATCGGTAATTTCCGTACATCATACGTGATTCAATGTTATTCGAGATAAAGAATTACTACCACGAAGTACCAAATGAGTTGCCATTGACAGCTGGTTACATTGAAATGTTACAAGCTTGAAAGCGGGTGCATTGAAAATAATAAAAGAGCGCTCAGCCAATCAGAAAGCGACATTTATGTGTGAGGTAAGATAAAAAGCTTTATACCCTCTACCAACTGACCCAAGCTAGCTGTCATCTGTATCCGACCGAGGCTGACCTAAGATCCCGTCCACCAACTCACCTGAGCGATTCTCCATGTTGCAGATCCACACAGCCGCTGAGGCAACATGCAGAAAAATATTCCAGGAAGAATCGGGATGTTGGCACCAGCAGGTCGAACCTCAAAGCCAGGAGCACCAGAGTCTCGAGCTTCTTCACTTGCTCTCTGTTGTACTTGGAGTTGCAGCAATCGAGCAAGTCGTTAATCTCCGGGGGAATAACCTCCTCCTGAAACCCGGTGTCTACTTGAGAAAATCATTAGTAATCTCCTACAATTGGAAGGACGAAGGCATTGTTTTACACCACTTTCAACAATAATCTAACAATGAAGGCAAAGGACGCCAGAACGCGAGGAGCCGAACCAAACCCTTCGACATTACGTCTTAAAACACTATGCCACCAGACCGCGCCCAGTTCGGCTGAAGGCCATGAAACTAACTTTCTGGAAGATTTAAAGTAGTAAGTGACCTGAAAACGTCACCTGTGAGTCATCACTGTTTAACGCCGTATTGATAAGTGAGGGGAAGTTTAGTTTTACGCCGCTTTTATCAATATTCCAGCTACATCAAGGCGGGGAACGACAAAAATGGACCACAAACATTGTGCCCATGAGGGAAATCGAACACGGGTCTTCGGCGTGACGAGCGAGCGCTTTAACCACTAAGCTAGGCGCCTCGTATGAATAAGTCATCTTGTTGCAATTCTCGACGTATCAAATACTAAAGTATTTGTATTCTACAAGTCACGGTTCAAAGGGTATGATACCTCCAATTAAAGGCTGAATTAAATTTCCTGTACGACACTGACCCATGGGAGGTAACTTTCGACTTACTATTTTAGCTGCGATCAGTAATGCAGTGATGCCAAGGAGCGGGAGACACGGAATGTCCACGTACATGGCCGCCATGGTGCGGTCGATGATGTTGACAGTAACGAAGAGGCTGTCTGGGTTGAGACAGTGGTCGCGGTGAACTTTGGTCACCCAGCTCACCATGACAGCTCGCATCCCTGGCGTTATCTGTGAGAGATGGACACAGACTGAATCTATCATACTCCATGGAAACTTACCCATAAACATAAGTACCACCTTATGAAACAAACCTAAATGTAACTGCCATAGTATCATTGTGTATTACATTTGTTTGTTTGGGTTGTTTGTTGTTGTTTTGGGGGTTTTTGGGGGTTTTTTGTTGTTGTTGTTTTCCTTCTTGTTGTTTTTTGGGGGGTGTTTGTTTTGTTTCGTGTTTTTTTTGTGTGTTTTTTTTAAATATTTTTATTATTATTATTATTATTATTTTAATTTTTTTTTTTATTTTTTTTTTTTTTTTTTATTTTTTTTTTTTGGGGCCTTATTCTCAATCCTTATTACAGTTGGGCCGAACTTTGAAAGGGTTGATTGAGGTGTGACTTCCTTACTTCAACATTTGCATACTAGATATGGTACAACGTGGTTTGTCGTGCACTTAGAGGACTGAACAATGGGATATATTTGGACAATTGCAAAATGTTTCAGATGTTATGATGCCAAACATGTAAATTATATTCATGTTAATGTCTTGATATTCCAATAAGGATATGTAGATGACTTTCTTTTTATATATGAACACCTTGGCTTCAAAACTTTTTACAAATTAAGGTTTTTTTACAATTCTTTCAAATTTGATTAATTTGAAAGAATACAAATTGAGTAAACATATATAGTTTGAGAACAGATGGCCATGCACACTCTTGAGTCACTACGGAATGATAACAATATATGGATGCACAATTTAAAACAGTGAGAGCGACGTTTGGTATAGGTTCTAACACTATCATCACTTGTTTGATAACGGTGTTAGAACCAACAACGAAACGTCACTCTCACTGTAATAAAGTTGTTCCTCGTGGTTTGGTAGACTGTCAGTTTTACCTGAAGTCATGGTGATTCATACTATATGATACTATAAATAAAAATGATCCCTAAAAGTACGATCTTGCTTGACAACGGTGTTAGAACCAACAACGAAATGTTTCATTGTAATTTAGAGGTTGTTCACCCATATGTTGTTATCCTTCCTTGCTGCTTAACTTCTAAATGAATTCAAAGAATTTGTTGAGTCACTGGTGAGTAACAAAACTAGTTGTGTGGAAAACACTTTGTGCACACATATGGACGATTCCTCTTGTCACTAACATCCGTTCAGTGTCGATAGACTTAAATTGAGGGTTTTATGTAGAAAATTGAATTTGTCATCGTATGTTTATCGCTGTACATTCAAAGAAATTTGTCATGATGTGGTCCTGGTACATTGACATTGTGCATGCAGGGCTCGATTTAGTGCTTTGTTACTTACACTGGTGCAACCCAATATTACAAAGTGCAACCTAGTTATTAGTCTTATTAATTTTTGAAAAATAAATCAACAATAAATCTAACATTATAGGTATAATTATGTCAGCTCATGTTTCTTCTAACCTTTTAATAATTTAATAGCATATTTCTTTCTTGACATATTGCCCAAAAAGCAGTGCAACTGGAATTTGGCTGGTGCAACTAGGTTTTTATCTCAGGTTGCATCTGGTGCAAGTAGGTTAACCTATCTTAAATCGAGCCCTGGCATGGTAATGATATATTGTCATGTTTCATTTGTGGTTTGTCAGTGTTTGTGGTCATGGTAAATTGTCATGGTGAGTTGTCATGGTATATTGCCATGAAACGTTTTCATGGTACATTGTCCCAGCTTGTGTTTTTACATTGTCATGATAGATCGCAATGGTTCATGATCACAGTGCTTGGACTTGGTACATTGTTGTCATGACAGGTCGTCATGGGGTGTGGTCATGTTCATTGTGACAGTGCTTGGTCTGGATATATTGTCATGGTAGATTGTCATGGGACGTGGTCGTGGTAGAGTGAGGGGTTCGTGATCACTGTATAATAATGCTCATGGCGCCTGGACGAAGTACATGGTTTTGATACACTGTCAATGTATAAAACCCTTCCTGCACATTTCAAATCTGATCAAAAGTAATCACCTCTTTCTGTCGCCCGAGGCTTTTCAAAGGATGGACACGTTTCTCCAGCGCCAGCCGATGCAAGTAAATCTCGTCTTTGTAGGGTTCGAATCCCGCGTGGTTGACATCACCGAGCGGCCACAGAGGTCCATGTGTCATTGGACTGGACAGAGGCAACTTCTTGAACTTCCGTTCAATCAGACAATCTGGACAGTCGAAACACTTGAGCTGACTTGTATCCCCTAGACCCGAGTCATTCCCCTGGAGGAGAGTTGTCTCCCCTTCCATCGGCGTGAGGGTCTGGGCATGGCTGTGGACTTCAACCTGAGAGTGAAAACAAGTGAAAACAAGTGAAAGCAAGTGAAACCAGGTTGGTATCTGAGTGTTTGTCTATCCAGGATAACACCCACGTCACTGATCCTGACCAACCAATTCGCAAAGCATTTGTTGGCGACCAGGAATTCCCAGAGGATACTTAATTACTCTTAATATATATGCTCTTAAAAATATGTAGGGGAACCTGAATTTTCAATTTGTATAGGAAGTATACGCGTTAACAAACTTTTCAAAGACAGACAATTATGAACGCACCACCACTTCTCATTATTACCACCCCCCTAAACAAAACGCATGGGATGCACGTGCACAAAGGCAGTAGCCCCATACACGTTCATGGAGTGTCCTTCTTAATTTTGACGATTTTCAAGAAGGTCGATAAATCACTGTAGACCTACTTAATTTTGACTTTCATCTTGCACCACACAGTTGTTAGTGTTTGTTTCCGGCCGGGTTTTTTGTTTGTTTGTTTGTTTGTTTGAAAATGAACATAGTACACATGCAAGTTTCACGTCATACACCAATCATCTTTCAAGGGCGATAACTGTACAAACAACTATGGTCATAAGGAAGTGCAAGTGGGGATGCACTTTCAAAACATTTATTATTATCATATCAACATTGATTGACTCCGATATACCTCCCAATGTTTTCAACCGTAAATTAAAAATGAAGTTCCTTTACTTGTTTTGAAGAGTATAATATGATAGAAACTACAATAACTGAAGTCAGTGGTGTATTTTTTCTGATAAATTACACTAAGGAGAGGAGCAGGTTGCTACTTAGATACATACAATATACCTACCGGTATATCTACACACCCAAGTACGTACGTGAGAAGAAATCACAAAACTTTAGACCACACTTGAGAACTAGTTAGATATATTTGTCCAAAATGCATAACCCTTCGATCCAAGGACTAACCGACATCCGATGCCCATTTGAATAGGCGTGGTGTTTTGGAGTGAGTGAGCGAGTTTGGTTTTACGCCGCTTTTAGCAATATTCCAGCAATATCACGGCGGGGGACACCAGAAATGGGCTTAACACATTGTACCCATGTGGGGAATCGAACCCGGGTCTTCGGCGTGACTGGCGAACGCGTTAACCACTAGGCTACCCCACCGCCCCGTGGTGTTTTGGAGCCTTAACTTATTCACTGGAAAAGTCAAGTATTTCATTCAAAACAGTTATCAGCCGGCTTGAGGCAAGCGATGATTATACGGCGCTTAGTTAACTATTAATTTTCTTTCCTTGCGTCTCTTCGGTGCTTCAGTCCTCAAGGAAGCGACCGGGGTAGCCTAATGGTTAAAGCGTTCGCCCGTCACGCCGAAGACCCGGGTTTGATTCCTCACATGGTACAATATGTGAAGCCCATTTTGGTGTCCCCAGCGTTGATATTGCTGGAATATTGCTAAAAGCGGCTTGAAACTAAACTCACTCACTCACTCATCAAGGATTCTGCATCATAGGTCTTGTTGTGTGCGACAAGAAGTGATGGCTGATCGTCCATTCTTTAACAGCCTTCAAAAAGGGAACAATTGATTACGTGCTGTCAACAATTAGTGTTATAGGGGAAGGAGTAAAAGGTTGAGTTGACTTGAAATCAGTTGATAACAACAAAATTGTTCGTCATGTACGACGTTCTTATTGTATAACAGTCTTCCCTTTGGCATTCAACGCATTTGATTATTTTATACAGGATTAATTGATCAACAAGTATGCATATAGATATATTAAAGCATGCATGCAACTGAACAAAATCATTTGTCCATGCTGAATTGGGTCAAAGACAATAGGGCTATTTCAATTGTTCTGTCCAAATTAACGTATTTGATCACAACAAAATGGCACCTATTATGAAACACACAACAGGAAAGTCACGATTCACGCCTCTCTGTCAAGATTCAACAGAAATTCAGTTAAAAACATTATGTCACCTGCAGCTTTGAAAATGCACCTGGACACACAATTCTCTCTGGTAGTCATTCTTCGCCTTGGTCTAAACGGGAGTGTTGACCACCAGTCAGTGGCCAAAACGTCTGTTCGCAAAACATGCTACCTTGCCGACGTTCACACCGTAGGAGCTGTGAACGGCAGGAAATATTTCATAGCTTGAAAGAGAACGATTTATCACGCGAGAGGTGAGAAGGTTTTATTCTGTAGGTGTAGAAAAGTTGTCAATATCTATATTTGTCCCAAAATTCATGCTGTAAAATAATTAGTAGAAGACACATGTGCGTAATGCCACCAAATATCTTTAGATTCCATCATTATACAAGCTCATGAGCCTGCAAAACAATGTCTAGCTTCGGCTACGTTTCCGTAAAGATGCATAAACATATCTTTGCTGTATAAACGAAAAACAAAATACACCAACATTTAGAGTAATTATCGAACTATCTTTGTGCCAAATTTGAATGCTTAGCTTTGTACCGTTTTCGAGCTTTCATTCTCGAAAGACCAACACTATCAAACAGTTAGTGAACGATTTCAGAACATCGTGGTGAACGATTTCATGTCGAACTCTACACAGTGAACGCTTTACGGTGGTTATTCAATAAAGTTTCTAGTGACAAGGTGTGCTGTACTGCCCCAGAGTAGTGTATTCACAGAGAAACCATTATAGAGACATCCGTATTTCAGTCACGTAAAGCTGAATCAACTTGATAATTCTTTTTCACCATTTTTTGTATTACATAGTAATTATATTTCTTACGTACGGATTCTATCCGTCAACTTCTATAACTGAGTTAAAGTGGCAGTGGTTTGTATTCATAACTATTGTTTCAACATGATCATATCAGTCGCAAAACATTTGCAGTGATACTAGAAGTGAGTGGAATCACCTTGGACGGCTCATTAAACGAGACACATACTCACCACCACCAACCCCAACCCCGCCGTGAGCACGTCTACACCTATCAAAAGCAGTGCCGTGAAAGCACGGTACATTTATCAGTTCATCATCTACACTCTTCAAAAATAGAAACACATAGGCGATTTCGAGAACATTGGACTCGTGCAGCTGCGGCAAAAACAATACAAATTTACTATTTCTTTTCTTTGTGCTTCAGCGCCAAAACGCGACAATTTGAACTTGTCGCCTTGTTTTAGAAGTGTTTGAAGAAATATTCGCTAATACGTCACCAAGAAAACATTCAAAGCAAAATGCACGTGCAAGTAAGCGGAAAGCCATAGGGTATCGATTGTTATAAGAAGGCAAACGTTGTGTTTAATCTTGTCATTCGTTTTGGCCTGGAAAAGAGGAAATCAGCATGCCACGACTGAGGGCCGCCAATCGAAACATCGCCATTATAGGCTGCCTTGAATCTGGGGAGTCGCAGTCTGCAGTTGCCCGACATTTCAACGTTCATCAGAGCACCATATCTCGCCTTTGGGATCGTTTCCTGCAGACCAATTCCGCCCGAGATCGCCCAAGAAGCGGCCGTCCAAGAGTTACCACCCAAGGCCAGGACCGCTACATCCGGGTTGTTCATTTGCGTCATCGTCTTCCCACAGCCGTGGAAACTGCACAACGCATCCATGGTTTGAGAAGAATTTCCGACCAAGTTGTCAGGAATCGATTGCGTGAAGTGGGAATTCGACCAAGGGTATTAGAGGTATGACAGTCACAGTCGCTTGTGGTGGTCGTAGAGTCCTGCACTGGAACCTTAGAAACTGGAGTCGAGTCTGGTTCAGTGATGAATCGCGATTTCTTCTTCACCGGCGAGATGGAAGACAGCATGTTTACCGTCGGAGACATGAACGTTTTGTCCATAATTGCATTCGACCGGTCGACAGATTCGGTGGAGGCAGTTTCATAGTGTGGAGAGCGATATCTAGCACAGAAAGATTTGATTTAGTGGTCGTTCAGGGGAATCTGACCAAGTCGGTACACGTCGGTACACGTCGTCCTTGCACGTCACATGCTTCCGTCAGAGGGAGTTGTTCCAGCATGACAACGCTACTTCACCTACACTACGCGTTATGGACCGCTACCTTGCCAATTCTAACGCCAATGTCTTGCCAAGGCCTTCCCGATCACCACATCTAACGCGATAGAACACCTATGGGATGATCAACGTGTACGTTAACGTCAAAATACGCCTCAGACACTTCCACAACAGGCCATCGCATTGCAGGAAGAGTGGGGAAGAATTCCGCAAGAGTGACTTCGTCGACGTATCCAGTCTGAGGCGGTGCCGAGCAGTAATTGCTGCCAATGGAGGCCAAACAAAGTACTGACTTTGACGCCATCTTGTGGTCTCAAGTAAACAGAAAAGCTGCTGTTGTGTTAGCGAAGTCTTTGTCTATAGACGTGTGCATTTTCACCATTTTACCTTTGAAACTACATGAAATAATTGCTCTTAAATTACCACGATGAATTCTTCTAAAAATGGCTTGTGCGTTTCTTTTTGGAAGAGTGTATCTTTTTCTTTTTTTTGGGTGGACATGGTGATTCGTCATCCTTTGATACTAAACTGAGTTTTGCAGGTTCTAAGAGACAACAATTTCTTTATCAGTTTCATTTTGGCACATAGTTAAAATCTTTTGGTACTTATTTGAGTTCACCTGTAATGTCACATCGACGTATTTTTAAAATAATAATTGTCTTCTCCGTGTGAATGTCATTACAGTGATATATCACCCCACTGAAGTCTTGAAAATATTCAGAACAGTAGTAACACTGATATGGTGACATTTCCGTCCTTTAAACAGAACATCTGAAGAATTGAATACTTGATAGTTCGTGGTAATGTTGTATAGCATATTGGATGACGAGTTTAGGTTGACCGTAAATCGTTCACCAACAGAAAATGAAATCGTTCACTATGATCAGTCTGGGTTCTTAAATCGTTCACTAACAATTTGATGGTGTCTGTCTTTCGACCATGAAAGCTCGAAGACGGTACAACATTAAGAATTCATATTTGGAACAAAGATAGTTCGATAATTACTCTTAATGTTGGTATATTTTATTTTTCGTATATACAGCAATGATACCTTAAACTTTGACATGTTTATGCATCTTTACGGAAACGTAGCCGAAGCTAGACACAGTTTTGCAGGCTCATGGGCTTGTATAATGACGGAATGGAAAGATATTTGGTATGATTACGTACATTTGTCTTCTATTTTACAGCATGAATTTTGGGGACAATGTGACCTATACAAATATAGATATTGATAATTTCCCTACACCTAAGAAAATAAAACCTGCTCACCCCTGATAAATCGTTTACTTCCATGCTATGAAATATTTCCTGCCATTCACCGCTCCTACGGTGTGACGTTATGAGCGTTAGGTTGACTTTGAAAGCGTTTCGCCGTGCCGATACGACACCAATCGTAATATGATTTGGAAGGAATACAAATTTCACAGGTCATAAAATATGCGTATCACCTACAATTCTCGATTACCTCCCTTGTTTTGTTTACGTTTTTGTCGTCTGCTGCCATGTCGCCTGTCAACCGAGAATTGACGCCTGACCAAAGAAATCTAATTGTTGGGATGAATGAACAAGGCCATTCAAGCTTCAAAATTGCTGATTTGACAGGTATAAAACCTAGAACAATTCAGAAAACTTTAAAGCGTTTTCGGGAGCTCGGTTCAGTTAAATTGTTGCCGAGAAGTGGACGGCCCCCAAACACGTCACTAAGCGAATGAGTGAGTATGGTTTTACGCCGCTTTGAGCAATATTCCACTAATTTCACGGCGGGGAAAACCAGAAATGGGCTTCACACATTTTACCATGTGGGGAATCGAACCCGGGTCTTCGGCGTGACGAGCGAACGCTTTAACCACTATGCTACCCCACCACCCCACGTCACTAAGAAGTGAACGACGACTTTTTCTTCTTGTGAAAGGTAATCGCCGTCAAAGTCCTGGTGATTTGACAGCAACGTTCGTAGCGTTAAGAATTCTTAAGTTTGCTTGTAGCCAATGTGCTTAAGAAGTTCATGGAGATACGAACGTTTCGAGAATAGCTAGCCAGGTACAGACTACATTGTCTTCTCGCACTGTCAGAAGAAGATTGTTCACTGATGGGCACCGTAGACGTGTGGTTAACAAGAAATGGGGATTTTCTTGCTAACAGAGGCCGATTTTGTCGGACAAAATCACAGGAATAATGTCACTTTAGTGATGAGACACAAGTCCAGATCGGGAAAGACATAAAAGTGTATGTGTGGAGAAAGTCGGATGAGCGGTTGCGACCCGATTGTTTGGGAACTCGTGCCGATCATGAACGAAAATCGAGGTTTTCAGTGATGTTTTGGGGGTGCGTGTTGCCATGTGGTGTGAGAACTGTAACTGTCGTTGATGGCAACATCATAACCATTTGTGACCTGCAGTTGCCAGGCATTTTGTCAACCGCAGTTGGATTTTCCAAAAAGACAGTGACCCTTGTCATGTGTCCGTTCGGGCTGACCGTTGGAAACAGGAAAATCATATTCCGACTTCGCCGTGGCCCACAAAGCCCATATCTCCGTATCATTGAAAATGTATGGAAAACTGTTAAATATCAACTCAAAGCAAGATTAGGTGACATTAACTCGAGACAAGACCTCATCCGTGTGGTGAATGAAATTTGGACTGGGCTTAGTCTCGTTTACATTCATAGTCTATATGACAGTGCCAAGACGACTCCGAGATGTCCTAAGAGCACAGGCAGGGGCGTCGCTACCATTATAAATACAACGCCCGGGCTTGTGTACATGATTGTTGCTATAATGGTTGGGCAAGTCCTCAATACTATCTAAATAAAAAGCTTTGCAACTTATCGGGCTAACACGAAAAAAATGGTTTGCTACGCCTGCCTGGGTCATATCTCTAAATTCTGAAAACCTGATCAAGGTGAGTACCTTTTTTATTTACATAGATACGCGAATTTTAAAAAGGCACCCGACTCCGCCACGAATAGCTGTGACGTCACGGTGCGAACAGACTAATGGCCCGCCTGTTATCAGAGTGTGTACTCCTTGTGTTCGCGCACAAGTAAAACAAAATATACATGACCCACGTAGGCTATGTGTGACTGAAACCAGATCACAATTTAGATTAGAATAAAATTAGAAGGGTCGGCGAGATGAGAAACACAAAAAATAAAGATAAATAGCGGAGGTCGGTGGTTCCACCCCATCAGACCTAAACAAGATGGTACTTTTTGTATCCCCGCCTAGTGCTCGGGATTAAGGGAAGACACACGTGCACGCACGTGCACGCTAGCGCGTTCGCACGCGTACATGCACGTCGAGGTTTAAGTGCAATGGTCTTGATTGCAATACGTATCGCAATATATGCTTTCGCATCGCAATATGAAAAATCTCTGCAATATCCACCCCTAATTGTTATTATCCGTGCTTTCAATCACCACCATCGATGATTTCTGAATGCCGAAATCAGGAATATTGCTGACTGCGGTGTTTATAAAATATTCACAACCACCTCTCCAACACGACCCTATTGAGTCATGAAGTTTGCAATCATGTCTCGAATGCCCGTAACCTCACTGTTTTGGAGAGGAACCGCACGGTTTGCACGAATTTAGCTAAAGAAAAAGCAGTCACGCGAGACGCTTTTGAACCATTATCAATACCCGTTCCTATTATCTTAACTTAAGCATAAACCTCTTGTGATATTGCTTGGCGAGAAATTAGATTTTCTTATTTCAAGGTATGTTTAAACTTCACCTATCCGCCCTGATTCAAACACCTTTATAGCACTGCTGTTTTCTTAAAACAACGAATATGCAGAAATGAAATATTACTGGGATGTGCTTCTGTCGAACATTAGAAATTAATGCACTGAGCTCCCTGAATATATTGAGTAACTTCTGGGAAGTGCGGTTGAACTGACTGACTGAGTATGGTTTTACGCCGTTTTTAGCAATATTCCAGCAATATCAAGGCGGGGGACACCAGAAATGGGCTTCACACATTGTACCCATGTGGGGTGCGGGTTGAAGTGGGATAGGGCAATTTATATACAGTATTTATATATGCTTTGAATGACTTAGTGAGTGAGTTAAGTTTAACGCCTCTTTCAGCAACCTTACAGCAATATCTGAGCAGGGGACACCAGAATTGGGCTTCACACATTGTACCCATGTTGGAATCGCGAACCTGGGTCCTCGGCGTGACGAGGGAACGCTTTAACCTTTAGGCCACCCCAACAGGCCATACCTGATTTTAAGACACGACTACTAGTGGTTAGACTCGCTGACAAGGTTGATGTCGCCGTATCCCTATTGCTAAAGTAGATTTTCTGTTGTCAATTTCTGGACTAACAGGTCCAGTGTATATATTGCTAGGAGTGAGTGAGTTAGTTTGTTTTTACGCTGCTTTTAGCAATATTCCAGCAAAATCACTGCGAGGGACACCAGAAATGGGCTTCACACATTACACCCATGTGGTCATCGAACCCGGGTCTTCGGGGTGACATGCGAACGCTTTAACCACTAGGCTACCCTACCTCCCCCTATATATTGCTAAGAGCGGAGACACAGCAAAACACAACACACCATTCGTGTTCCAATAAGTATCTATCAGTTATGGGGACAATGTTTAAAGTTTTGAAATATAGCAGTCCCATTGGTAATTATTTATATTGTCCATAAATACTACTGGACATTAAATGTTGAACGTAAATATTACCATTTTACGGCCGCTTCTCCATACATAACCAACAGCGCGTTCAATTTAACACCGCTTTGGACGGTTTCTAGTGTAAGTCATTGGTGTCAGTTTGGCTTGGCGGAAGTGCCAAATGGTAAAGGTTTTAGACGTTTGCCGATTTCACATAACCCACCGGCACTACGAATCTTTGCGCTTTAGCGACTGAACTATATATGCCAGTTGTATTTTTGTTCATAACATAACATAAATTAGTCCTCTTTTTAACATTTGTTGTGGTCAAGGTTGGTCACATCATCTTGTTGCAACAATTTGCTGAGCAGAGTTGCGTACCTTAGCTGTGTCAGGGTCCGCTGTTTGAGAGTTTTAATCTCAGCTTCGCCCTGATTATGATCGGGTTTGCCCTTGTGCTTATTCCTTACTCAGCATTATTCAATCTTTGAACAGTACCTCGGTTATAACGTTATGACGTTACGTTCCGTTATACCGTTACGTTACCTTATAGCATTATGACGTTACGTTACGTTATAACATTATGACGTTACGTTCCGTTATAACGTTATGACGTTACGTTCCGTTATAACGTTAAGGACCACCTGGCTCTTTCACATTTCAAATCTATGGTTAATAAGTCATGCTATTCAATATTACTATAGGTAATCTGCCGTTGTATGACTGAATTAATATCAGTGAATAGGATGATCCCTTATCTTTTTGAGCAGTATAAATGAAATACTGTTCAAATTGGCGTACAATTAACCTGACTTTTTCGTTTTTTTCTGCAATTATCATATCCACAAATATACAATGGCCTAATTATGCTTTTCAACGTTACAGAACACCTAGATTTCCAATGTTATAGGCTGTACGCGTGGTGAATGCTAACGCCTTAAATTACCATTTTGGTACAGTAGACTATGGTTATAACGAACACGAGAGGGCCACTAGTTTTAGTTTACCATAGTTCTTAATACGCATTTCGACGAAAGGAATTTTTCAAGTGGCCGAGACTTAAACAGCGGTTCGTTACATCCGTCAGTTCGTTATAACCGTGTTCGATATAAACGTAGTTTACTGTATGTACATTGTGCCCGCATCGTCCATGTCAACAAACTGAAGCGATCACACTCTACCCAGGCAGTTCAGTGGACCGTCAGTGTTGTGTGTGTGGGTTGCCTACCTGACTCACCCCCGGGTAGCCACAGTCCACTACCCCCTCGTCCAGCAAGTCATCAGGGTCGTAAGAACAGACAGTGTCGAGATGACACATCGTACAATCCGCCGACATCACAGATTTTCTTCACACTCTCAATCGCAACACCGATTTCCTAATCACCTCTACCTGGCGTTACCTGTTTCAGATTCACATACTCCTGCCTTTCTGTCTGCATGGTTCTCCCCAGTGTTTACATTTCGTGGGACAAACCATTTTCCGACCGCGTCGCATAAATCGTTTAAATCGTCCAACAAGTAAATATACCTAATAGTATATATAATGACATATTTGTACAAATTTGAATTTAAAAATATTGTTTGGTACATTTTTTTTAAAATCGTAAAACATAGGTTAAAATGTCATTGATAACCTGAACACCCCTTTAACTAATAAACTCTTCCATGCACGAGCAAGCGACACAGCATTTTGATGTTTGAACTAGATCTGTTGTGGTTGTAATGAATTGTGATTCAATAAATTAAAATATTCACTTTAAGAAGAAAACTAAATAGTATATTTCCTTCCAAATTCACGATTTGAGAGGAATTATTTCAAACTGCGTCTTCACTGGCTTGTTTATTTCTCTATCGTGTTTGAATTACCATTGAAGTGACACGTACCATGCACGTGTTTCTCGTGAGCTCCACCACAGAAAGATCACGAGCTTCAGCGAGCGACACAAGCCGATTGCGTGACAAATCATATGAAGTTTAAACTCGGAAATAGTTTAGATTCTTACTCTTCAGATTAAGTTCAGATGCTTTCAATCATTTAACAGAACAACCAAGAGAAATGAGACATGACGTAAATGTATTAGAAGACGAAATTTACTTTGTATTTTTTTATTGAAGGGAGATTCACTTTTTGTTTCAATGCAGCGAATATATGAATGTCAACATTTTAAATAAAAAAATCTTCTTAAATATATTGTACCTTATTCTTTGCACAAAACCTCTACTGTCAATGATATTTTAATGTCATTAAGAGCTTTGATTACACAATGCCATTTGAGCATTAAGAGCTATAATTTATTATATACTTCCCATCAAAAGTTTAGACTCACTTAAAGCACTCACTATATGTTATGTATATACATATGGTTACATCGAAGATGAATTTCTCCACTAACTTGGGGGAACCAACTGCAAACCTTATGCAGATTAATTGCACGAGGATCATGCATCAAATTGCTGAAAAGCATGTGCAAATATCGTGCATGTGAACAGCTGCGTTTTGGTGTAAAGTGTTGTTTAGAATTCGCCAATTTTCACTGACTTTTTATCATTTATTGAACTCATGACAATAATCTTTTCAACGTTACGAATTTGTTTTACAATTCATTAGTTCATGTGTAAACAATACCTTTATACAGTATGTATTATTTTGCAAAATTTAGTTTAGAACAGTTGATTGAAGTAAGTGGCTACATTTACACTAGTGAGTCTAAACTTTTGATGGGAAGTATATAAAAGTATATATTGTATCCATCCTCAAAGGCATAATGTTCAAGGTGCTTGGCATTCTAAACTGATGTTCAAAAGAAAGTACACAGTCACCTGATTCTTTGGTAAAATGTTTTCTTTAAAACAGCATTAATATTTTAAAAAGTGTTTTGATTCTGCTTTGTCACAAACATTGTGCAAGTGTTTCCAAAACACCAGATATTGTACCCAATTACAACATTGCTAGCGAAATATTTATGGTTTTAATGGAAATAGTCCCAAAACGCCAGGTGTGTGCTTTCTTATGAACGTCAGTATATATTGAAATTAAGTATACTCGAACCAGTGCTACCATTTCCACATCACCACTACAAAAACCACTACCATTAATGACTTTCTCAGATGGAGACAATGATGTCAGTCACTGGATTGTCTGGTCCAGACTCGATTATTAACAGACCGTCGCCATATAGCTGGAATATTGTTTAGTGCAGCGCTAAACAACAAACAAGCAAACAAACAAACACGCTAACTCCAGCAGATTTTGTGTCTGAAGGTGTTCCCTATCAATAGGTATCTTCAGTGAGCCCTGCTGTAATCTTGGCACATGCAATGTACCCCCAAATGTTTAACTTTGGAAGTTATGTAAGTATTAGGTATTGTGAAACGTTAAAGCAGTCTTGCACCAGTGTGTACATGGATCTGCATACACAATTCAGAGTGAGTGAGTTACTGCCCAGGATACCACAATATAATGAGTGAGTATGGTTTTAGGCCGCTTAGCAATATTCCAGCAATATCACGGCGGTAGTCACCAGAGTGAGTGAGTTTAGTTTTACGCCGCACTCAGCAATATTCCAGCTCTATGGCGGCGGTCTGTAAATAATCGAGTCTGGGCCTGACAATCCAGTGATCAACAGCATGAGCATCTATCTGCGCACTTGGGAACCGATGACATGTGTCAACCAAGTCAGTGAGCCTGATCACCCGATCCCGTTAGTCGCCTCTTACGACAAGCATGGGTTACTGAAGATCAATATTCTAACCCGGACCTTCACGGGTGGGAGACACCAGAAATGGGCTTCACACATTATACCCATATGGGGAATCTAACCCGTGTTTTTGGCTTGACGAACGAACGCTTTAACCACTAGGCTACCTTACCGCCCCTACACAATGACCAGAGCTGAAATTGCCCAATGTCATTCTGAACTGTCGTGCCGAGTACACATGCCTTGCATTGTGTACACATATTCCTGATTTCTGACAAGTTTGGACTACCACATGTGTTCTGCTTGAGAACGACAGTCCTGAACGTCTGTATCCCATTAGTTGCTGAAGGCACTGGTGACCCACGCGTCTGTGGCGCAGTCATTCTCCATGCAGAGTTGCGCCCCTTAGTCGTATCAGGATTCAACGACCATAGGTCCGGATATGATCATTGGTTTGGCTTCTCTGTTATCGAGCTAAATGGGAGTTGAGATGATCAGATAACGTGATACTCTATTACGTAATAAAATAAATTATCAGAGCATTACATTTACGAAAGCATGGGCGAATACGGACACGTATTTTAGCATAGAAGTGGAATCAAACAGCATGAGACCACCCAGTTAAGAAAGGAAAATCATTATTATGATTAAAGGTTAAGTAAGTGAGTTTAGTTTTACGCCGCTTTTAGCAATATTCTAGAAATATCACGGCTAGGGACACCAGAAATGGGTTTTACCTTGTGGTTAAAGCCTTGGCTCGAACCCGGGTTCGATTCCCCACATAGGTACAATGGATGAACCCCATTTCTGGTGTCCCCCGCAGTGATATTGCTGGAATATTGCAAAAGGCGGTGTAAAACACTTCACTTACTCACTCACATTTCATCTCACACCTCATCACACCCATCTACGAAGGTTGATCCTTCTACATTTGAAAAAAAACGTATTTATGTCTGTGAGTTCACAGGAAATCCTTTTCCGATAAATACGATGAAAATTTAAATTCGTTTGGAGCCATGCGAAGTCAGACTAATTAAAAACACATTTCCTCTCGAGGGTTCATTCTTTAAAACTACTTTTTTAAAAACAAGGTACGCAAGGAACTTTAATTCATACGAGAAACATCAATCGCTTCGGTCGCCATGACAATGGCTTGTGAAAATTTTCCCACACACTTGCACATTTCACTGCATATATATTGAAACTAAATATATTGTTCCAACTTGCAATACGCGACATAACGACACGTGTTTCACGGATGCCATTCAGACTTCATTCTTGATATCATGTTTTAGAGCATGTCTCCTACAGCACATGGAATAATCCCATATTGGAGGCATTAAAAGTGACAGAAACAGGTTACCGCCCCTCCCTTATCGCGGGGGCAAACAATCGCCGTCTGAACGCGGACACCCCGGACCTTGCAACCAATTGTTCTCAGGTGTACGAATCGCGGGAAAACCGTAAATAATTGGCATGGCTGTTGAAATTCTAGCCCGAGACAAAATGTGGGTTAGATTAAATGTTGGAGGTAGCCGAGGAGAGAGGAGCTTCTCGTCCCTTCCCCTAGGTCCTGTGTAGTTAGCCCCCTTTTAGTGATCCCTCACCCCAGTAGCTCTCGCAGTTACCCCCTAGAACAACTGGCCTGTGTCTGTGGATACTACTTGGTGTTGAGTGAGAGTGATTATCTTAATGGTGACGGTGACGTTGTGAGGACAGTCCACCATGCAGTTGTTCACGTCACTGATGCTGGCTATGGTTGCTCAGGTCGTCCACAGTCAGCGTAGAAGCGCCAGAGTCAGACCAGGTGAGGATTTCATTGAGTCTTTGACACGGACATAGTCATTTGCATTATAATTGTATGCTACCATTATTTTAGAGCATATGCGCGCCTGAGTTTCCGATATCCATCTTAAATTGCCTACAATCGTAATAACTTAAATGTCCTGTGTACGCCATGCTGGGGAATCGTGCATTTAGCAAGGGTCACGCGAATCGTGTACCAAACACTGTTGGCTGCGATCTTTATACCGATGTATGTCGACTAATAGTTCAGCCTGTTAAATGGCCTCAATCTAGTCTTAAATGCAAAACTGTGATATCTTTTTAACATACTACACAAATGTTGCTTAGGATCACGGTTTAATTATTTTAAAGAAATCATCTAACAGTTAAAGATTGAAATATCCCGGTACACAATGATTGGGTAACACCCACACAGGACAACAGTTTCATGACAGAGGGCTGCATTAATGGGATCGATGTGCACGAGGTGCTTGAAACCATGTGTTCGGATGTATCGTGACAGAATTGTCGCATGTCTTTACCCGAGAGCAAAAAGAAAACATTTGCCATTGAGGATAATAACAACTGAATACGCTTGAGCCGCCCAGCATCAAAGACGTCTTTTCACGCCCGAAGAATTAGGCAGATGCAGGGGCATGCTTGAAACTGGGCCAGTACAACGTTGAAAACGCCGTTCGTGTTAAACAAAGTGTGATCAGCATGGCATGGAATTGATACCAGACGTTTGGATCGGCTACCCAGCGACCTGCAAGTGGTCGACAGCGTTCCGCCACTCCGCAGGAAAACAGGTTTCTCCTCACTGCTGCAAGGCATCTTCACATCGTGATTGCTATCACATACACGTTACTGCGAGGGTTTGGGTGGGGTGGGGTTGGGATTGGGTGTGTTTTAGCTTGACATAGAATTTGATTTCACGATTTTTGGACGTTTCACCTTTGGTCTCGTTTTGAAGGGTGATTTGACTGATGATTGTCACATGTTTGTTGGCGCCGTGCGGCAAGTGACGGACGTTCGTTCAATAAACGTGCGCAATAGCATCTAGCTATTCAAATAGAGGCATACAATCAGACAAATTACCTTTTAAAGCGGTGATCCTTTGCAAACTTTGAGTATTATAGTTATTTTGCTATACTTTAACAGATTACAGCTTAATATGTATGTGATACGTTTAAGGCAAACATTTAGCGTGCAAAGTACTGTATTTGAGTTTACGGACTGGTCTTATTACCCTAATGACCAAATATGTGTCCCTTCTTGGTGGTTTTTGGCCAAAACGAAGCCACGAAGGTCTGCATGGTCTATCATTGAATTAATTACCCATGAAGATCCGCGTCAGAATTGGTCTTCAGCAATCCATGCTTGTCGTAAAAGGCGACTAACGGGATCGGGTGGTCAGGCTCCTGACTTGGTTGCCACATGTCATCGTATCCCAATCACGTAGATCGATGCTCATGCTGTTGATCACTGGGTTGTCTGGTCCAGACTCGAATATTTACAGACAGATTATTCCATACAGCTGGAATGTTGCTGAATGTGGCGTAAAACTAAACTCACTCACTGACTTGCAAATGTAATCTACAATCGGTGAATCAGATATTTGAAATTTTATGTTTCAAACTATATCTTCAGTATCCAAATGCCAACTCATATATATATTCTTCATTCTAGTTCCTGATGCACGACTTGAGGAGGCGTTCGCTACAAGTAACGAAATCTTCTTCGCTGGACAGTTCAGTGCCCCACGTGACACCAGACGTAGCCTCGTTCTGGCCAGAATCCAGAGTCCTCAGCTCCAAACACTGTTTGAGGTTTCGGTTGGTTTTACTCAACCACAAGGTGAGTTGCAGAGAGTTGCAGAGAGCCCATATACGTGCATGTTGGTGTTCCCGATTCACATACATGTTTCAATGCATGTATACTTAGGCGTCCATGGAGCCACAATTTATTGTGCATAGTTAGGTCCCTTTGTCTTGCCAAACTACTGTTGGTTCGACGTCCAGATATGCACTGAAGATAATCCTTGGGGTACAGGTACCATACCCCTAAGGGACCATTCATAATTTATGGCTGGGTGGTGGTGGTGATGATTTTAGAGAGAGAGGGGGATTTTTCACCCATTTTGTTCTGGGGGTAGGTAGGGGGTCATCAATTTTGTACATATGGTAATATGAATAAATAATGCTTAAAAATTATGGGAAGAGGTTTGGGGGTGTCATTCATTTTGTACATGACAGTCATGCAGGGGTCACTTACTTTGTACATAAATTTTATAGGGGGACATTCACATTGTGTATGCTTCTCCCTAAGAAACATCAACAACAGCCCCATAAATTATAAACGATCCCTAAGCGTGGGTGTCATAATTGTGATGTTGTCACCGACTCCATCGCAATCGCCTCCATATAGCTAGAGCACGATTGAGTGCGGCGTTAAACAAAAACAAATAAACAAACAAAAACGTAATCGTAAATTATATTAGAATCACCAATAACATTGTAGACCACTCAGCTGTAGGGAATACGGTTGATACAAATAATAGAATCTTGCCGTACGTTTTCACAATCCATCCTATTCAAACATCCAATATATATTAAACTTAACACCGAGTTGGTTTGTAGACACGTTTGTAGACTAGTTAGTCTGAAGACAAGTTGGTTTGTAGACTAGTTGGCCTGAAGACAAGCAGGTTTGTACACAAGGTTTTTTTTTAGACTGGTTGGTCTGAAGACAAGTTAGTTTGTAGACAAGTCGATTTGTAGACTAGTTGGTTTGTAGACAAGTTGGTTGGTATGTCAGCGCTTTGAGCATGCAATGTGCACATATAAACGCGCAATATTATTATTATTATTATTATTATTATTATTATTATTATTATTATGTTTGTACACACGTTGATTTGTAGACTAGTTGATTTGAAGACAAGTTGATTTGTAGACAAGTTTGTTTGAAAACAAAACTGGGTGTCCGATTGTACGATGATAACGGTGATTTAAGTTGATCATGTGACTAACTCCCGTGCCTTACAGTAAACCGTAGCTGTGCTGCTCCACGCCTTTTATCATACCAACCTCCAGTTATAGACGCTCAAGCATCTGTCACCTATAACGGTGTATGTTTTGTATTTGAATTCACTTCGTTCACTTCCGTTGTTTATGTGTGTAGGATGGCATTCAACATAAATTACGCAGCAGACTGGCAAACAATTTCTTCACAAGCCGGTTCGGTCTGTGCAGAGACTGTTTACGTTATGTCTTACGAGTGTGTGCACAACTGGGGGTGCCGGGTCTCAGATTAAAGAACAATAAACCCTGTGGACCCTCATCTCGCAACGTTGGACGTTACGGCGTTAGGTGGTCGCGACGGGGTGTGGCGGACATCTGTAGGCCTGGTGTAACACCTCAACAGTAGAACACCGTGGAACATGGTCAGGACAGGCAAGATGTTCTGAATGAGGACTGGGTTAGGTTCGACTTTTGTCTGCCACACGCCTTGACTTTCGTTCGTTGTGAGGTCACCATGCGTGTCAATGGTTTATAGACACGAGTTGTATGCCTTGTCAATAAGTTCATGTTAGTACCAGATGTACAAGTTGTAGTCTCTCTGCCAAAGCCTTGAGAAAAAAGTACAAAGTTAATCCTAAACAAGTCTAGATTGAAGTGGGAAGGAACGAATGCTTATGCAATAATGAACCACCTGATTTATGGGCAACACAAAGCCCTGAAACGACGTGTATACAAAAAAGAAGAAGTTGACATCCATAATATTTTGCCTTGAACCAAGACTACACGAAACGTGTTTGCGTTACAATTCATCCAAGAATGACCCAAGCCTTCAAGAAACACATCTGTACAACCATTTATCCAGAGGCATCCCGATATTTAAAGGAAGTAATATACCACCATGCATCTGATAATCATCCATAATGTAAAGGAACAAATATATGTGACCATTAATCCAGTAATAATCCAATATCTCACGGGAAACAGATGTATGTGGACATTTATCCAACAATGATTAAATCCAACAAGAATGAGACCATTAGCCAGTAATGATCCAAGATCTCAAGGGATACAGATGTATGTGGACATTTATCCAACAATGATCAAATCCAACAAGAATGAGACCATTAGCCAGTAATGATCCAAGATCTCAAGGGATACAGATGTATGTGGACATTTATCCAACAATGATCAAATCCAACCAGAATGAGACCATTAGCCAGTAATGATCCAAGATCTCAAGGGATACACATTTATCCAACAATGATCAAATCCAACAAGAATGAGACCATTAGCCAGTAATGATCCAAGATCTCAAGGGATACAGATGTATGTGAACATTTATCCAACAATGATCAAATCCAACAAGAATGAGACCATTAGCCAGTAATGATCCAAGATCTCAAGGGATACAGATGTATGTGGACATTTATCCAACAATGATCAAATCCAACAAGAATGAGACCATTAGCCAGTAATGATCCAAGATCTCAAGGGATACAGATGTATGTGAACATTTATCCAACAATGATCAAATCCAACAAGAATGAGACCATTAGCCAGTAATGATCCAAGATCTCAAAGGGATACAGATGTATGTGGACATTTATCCAACAATGATCAAATCCAACAAGAATGAGACCATTAGCCAGTAATGATCCAAGATCTCAAGGGATACAGATGTATGTGGACATTTATCCAACAATGATCAAATCCAACAAGAATGAGACCATTAGCCAGTAATGATCCAAGATCTCAAGGGATACAGATGTATGTGGACATTTATCCAACAATGATCAAATCCAACAAGAATGAGACCATTAGCCAGTAATGATCCAAGATCTCAAGGGATACAGATGTATGTGGACATTTATCCAACAATGATCAAATCCAACAAGAATGAGACCATTAGCCAGTAATGATCCAAGATCTCAAGGGATACAGATGTATGTGGACATTTATCCAACAATGATCAAATCCAACAAGAAGAATGAGACCATTAGCCAGTAATGATCCAAGATCTCAAAAGGGATACAGATGTATGTGGACATTTATCCAACAAATGATCAAATGAGACCAACAAGAATGAGACCATTAGCCAGAAATGATCCAAGATCTCTCAAGGGATACAGATGTATGTGGACATTTATCCAACAATGATCAAATCCAACAAGAATGAGACCATTAGCCAGTAATGATCCAAGATCTCAAGGGATACAGAGTACATTGATCAACAATGATCAAATCAAGAATGAGACCATTAGCCAGTAATGATCCAAGATCTGGATACAGATGGACATTTATCCAACAATGATCAAATCCAACAAGAATGAGACCATTAGCCAGTAATGATCCAAGATCTCAAAGGGATACAGAAGGGATACAGATGTATGTGAGACATTTATCCAACAATGATTCAAATCCAACAAGAATGAGACCATTAGCCAGTAATGATCCAAGATCTCAAGAGATACAGATGTATGTGAACATTTATCCAACAATGATCAAATCCAACAAGAATGAGACCATTAGCCAGTAATGATCCAAGATCTCAAGGGATACAGATGTATGTGAACATTTATCCAACAATGATCAAATCCAACAAGAATGAGACCATTAGCCAGTAATGATCCAAGATCTCAAGGGATACAGATGTATGTGGACATTTATCCAACAATGATCAAATCCAACAAGAATGAGACCATTAGCCAGTAATGATCCAAGATCAAAGGGATACAGATGTATGGATACAAGATGATCAAATGTGAGACCATTACATTGATCCAAGATCTCATACAATGATGTGGACATTTATCCAACAATGATCAAATCCAACAAGAATGAGACCATTAGCCAGTAATGATCCAAGATCTCAAAGGGATACAGATGTATGTGGACATTTATCCAACAATGATCAAATCCAACAAGAATGAGACCATTAGCCAGTAATGATCCAAGATCTCAAGGGATACAGATGTATGTGAACATTTATCCAACAATGATCAAATCCAACAAGAATGAGACCATTCCAAGATCCAGTAATGATCCAAGATCTCAAGGGATACAGATGTATGTGGACATTTATCCAACAATGATCAAATCCAACAAGAATGAGACCATTAGCCAGTAATGATCCAAGATCTCAAGGGATACAGATGTATGTGAACATTTATCCAACAATGATCAAATCCAACAAGAATGAGACCATTAGCCAGTAATGATCCAAGATCTCAAGGGATACAGATGTATGTGGACATTTATGGGTGTTGACTGAAATGGGTGTTGCCTGACAGCGCCTGCTGAACGCCGTCTTCAGATAGAACATGAATGGGTCCATATGATGTGTTTAGCCACATAGATAATAATTAGAAAGTCAATTAGTAGACAGAGGGACACTATTTGTACTTGAGTACATCTTTTTGAATAGTGGTTATCACTGTGGTATTTTCTTTAACTAGCACCGCCCTATAGCTGGAATATTGGTGAGTGCGGCGTAAAACTAACCTCACTCACTTCAAATAGCCATGATGCATCCTGAAGTAATAAATTTAAAGACAGAATGCTCACTGGGGCCTGTTAGCAGTTGTCACTGTTTGTTTAAAATAAATGTGGGTGTGAAGGGGATATTTCAGCTTCCTTAATATACTTAAAGTTCAGCTTTTCACAGTTAGACTATTTTATGGTATTTAAAACAGGATTTTCACACTGAACGTCCGCGTGATGCACGTATTCCAACAATAGCCAGGTGTTATATGCCAGATGTCGTGTTACACCCATACTATGCAATTGTATATTTTTATGTAGGAGTGGCGTTCAATTTCAGACAAAAGGTGAGGAACACAAAATGTAATTCGTTTATATGTTCAATGTAATAACATTTCTTATTAATGCACCCAAGGTGCATATGTCCTTCAGAAATGTTATAGTAGGTAAAAAGATATTTGTTTTAACGCTTCCTGGCACTGAGCATTAAAGGATAAAAAACAGAAGGTAATCGCAGTGGAGATTTAAGTTGTCAAAAAGAAAGAATATTCACTTAGGTCAAGGTTTGGATTTAAGGAGTTTGATTTAACAGGTCAAAGCTACATCCTCTTAAAGCAGATGGGGGTTAGTCTAGTGGTTAAAGCGTTGGCTCGTCACGCCGAAGACCCGTGTTCGAATCCCATGGGTACAATGTGTGAAGCCCATTTCTGGTGTCCCCTGCCGTGATGTAGCTGGAATATTGCTAACAGTGGCGTAAAACCAAACTCAGTCAGTCAGTGTTAAAGCAGATGGTCCCCGAGAAGATCCAGAGTAGAATATGTCTTCAGCAACCCATGGTTGTCGTAAAGGTGACTAACGGGATCGGGTGGTCAGGCTCGCTGACTTGGTTGACACATGTCATCGTATCCCAATCACGTAGATAGATGCTCATGCTGTTGATCAATGCGTTGTCTGGTCAGACTCGATTATTTACAAACAGCCGACATATGGGGCGCGTTGGGCGAGCTGGCTAAGGCGCCAGGCTAGTGATCCAGCGAGGTTGAGGTACCGGGATTGAGCCAACCTGTGACCGGGTGTAAAAACCTTGGAGTCAACTTTGTGTGCAGACTCTTTCAGTGTTGTCACAACCCCTAGTGTACAGTACACAACCCTGTGCACTTAAAAGAATCCACGAATCCGTTGGTATTTGGCCAGTTGGTGGCCACATGAATACGTGCAAACACCTAGTTGCGGGTACAGCAACGTGCAGTGAAAATGGACAAAGTACTGTGACTATGTGTCCCAGTCCACCCAGCTGTGAATGGGTACCTCGTTAGGATGAGAAAGCCACAATAACTCGGTGCGCCTAGTGGCAGCAAGAGTTGTATACTCCCCAGGGAGTTGAGATTGATAATGCGATGTGCCGTTGAGATTGACATCCAATGATCGAGGGAAACAATACCAGCGCCTTGAGCATGCACTAGTGCGTGGATATGTGCGCTATATAAATATCCTATAATAATAATATAGCTGGGATGTGGATGAATGCGGCATAAAACAACATACAAACAATAAAAACTAAATCCGCTGGTGCAACTCTTTTTGAAATAGAGCATCACCTTGCACGGACAGCAACCGGGACAGCAGGCGACGTGTTGACATCAACGTTTTACCGTCCATATATTCATAAATTAGGGGTGTGTATTGGCAAATGAATTGTACTGCGATTCAGGTACATATATTGCGATATATTGGGAACTTAAGCGTTTGACAGTGAGTGACACTAATTGTGCATTGTAATTATGTCCCTGAACATATATCCATATTTGTGGTGGCGCGTGGTCCTGTGCTTAAAGCTCAGGTCACAAATCGGTGAAGTTAAGCAGCGTCGAGCTCGGAGAGTCCTTGGATGGGTGACCGTGTTTGGCAGCTTGACTCCTGAGAGTTTCTAGGACTTGAGTCCTGCACAACGAAGCACATGTGACACATGTGGTCTCACCTTAGGCAAGTGAGTTTGTTCAAAATTGTCTCTGTTCACCCAGCAGGAAAATGGGTACCCGGTGGAAAAAAGTCATATGACTATAATCTTCTAGCGCCTAACAGGCAGCTTGGGTTATCCGGGGTAATAATGGCCTTGATTGTTAGCGCTATGAGCATACCTAGTGTGGAGTTTGGCGCTATATAAATGGACACATTATTATTATTATTAACATATATGTTGTGGATCTGATAACAGCAATCTCAAACTTAGGTTGCATAGTCAGGGATTCTGTTTTCTTTTTTATACAATGTATAGTATTACAGTATGCCGTTTTGTCATTGAACATGGAAGGAAAACATTTGTTGTGAATGAAAGTCTGTGTAGAATTAAATTTAGACCATAAAGATAATCACAAAAACGTCATATATGTTCTTTACCCAAAATACCGGTTCTCAGAAAATATATTGCAATACGTATCGTTTGAAAAGCGTAGTGCGATATACCGGTAATACCGTGCAGTCCTACCATTAATAACAAACCCCTTGGAAGCTCAGAGTGAGTGAGTGAGTGAGTGAGTTTAGTTTTACGCCGCACTCAGCAATATTCCAGCTATATGGCTGCGGTCTGTAATTAATTGAGTCTGGACCAGAGAATCCAGTGATCAACATCATGAGCATCGATCAACGCAATTGGGATACAATGACATGTGTCAATCAAGCCAGCGAGCCTGACCACCCGATCCCGTTAGTCGCCTCTTACGACAAGCATGGGTTACTGAAGATCAATATTCTAACCCAGACCTTCACAGGTAGAGAGCCAGTATATGTTTTCGTTCACTATTGAATTGCACTGCTCCACATTTCGTGGTATATTTTGTTTGTTTGTTTTGTGTTGATTTCATATATATATATAAAGTAATATCATTTACTGCCTTTCTGCTAGCCGTTTAATTACAGTGAGCGAGTGAGCTAGTTTAGTTTTACGCCGCTTTTAGAAATATTCCAGTAATATCACGGCGGGGAACACCAGAAATTGGCTTCACACAATGTACCCATATGGGGAATCGAACCTGAGTCTTCGGCGTGACGAGAGAACGCTTTAACCATTAGGCTATTCGACCGTCCCCGTTTAATTACACATCTGTGACGGAAGTATTAGGTTATGAATTTGTAATTGAAAAGACAGACAAATAGTAATATGTCATTGCTCTCCTCTTCAGTGGTTGTGCGACTGCGCACACGTGACAGACGGGAATACCAGTTAACCTTCCCGACCCGTGCCCTTCATCAGAATGACCGGAAGCGCTTCATCCTCCATTTCACCGAGATGGATAAACCAAGCAATGGTATTCGACTGTTCGTGGACTGTCAAAACATCGGCCTGGACACAACAGAGATCCCCATCAGGAGTTTACTCAGGGGAAATCTCAATGTGGTAAGTTAACCCAAATTAGAAATGTTTCAAGTGCAGTCACCCAGGTGGCTTATTATCCCCCCTCAACGCGTTTTTTTTTTTTTTTTTTGTGTTTGTATTAAAATGGACTCCGTCCGTGCGTGTATATATATATTAAAATGGACTCCGTCCGTGCACATTTGTCTTTTCCGGAGCAGAACTCTAAAACCGTTCAATGTTTCTTCACCAAACTTGGCACATACATAGATCTGGTGGTGTACTGGTGCCATTTGGTAGTTTTGGATTTCTGAATAAAATATTTTTGGCATTTCCATGGCAACAAGTTTGACATTGACTAAAATTGGTGATAGTGCTCCTGTCTGGAGCAGAACTTTTAAAACCTTTCAATACTCTCCTTCCACTTTTCTATATACACACCTAAATATTTGACATAATCATAACTCGTAGACATAATCATGAAGAGTATTTTGCCATTGCGGGGGATATTGATGACATTGTCTTCTTACTGACATTGTAGGTCATATGTCTCACATTGTACTCATGTGTTGCACGTGTCGCTATTAAGGTGAAACCTTAATTATATAACTTGTGTTGCAAAGGTGATTTCTCCATTATGTAAGTCTCTACTTTTGTTTGTTTACTATGTAACTCGTGTTGGTTGGTTTATTGTCAGCAACATTCCAGCAATATGGCTGCGGTCTGTAAATAATCGAGTCTGGACCAGACAATCCAGTGAGCAACAGCATGAGCATCGATCTGCGCAATTGGGAACCGATGACATGTGTCAACCAAGTCAGCGAGCCTGACCACCCGATCCCGTTAGTCGTCTCTTACAACAAGCATGGGTTGCTGGAGATCAATTCTACCCCGGATCTTCACGGGTTTACCAAAGTAAAACCATCATTATTTCATTCGTGTTGCGGGGCGGTGGGGTAGCCTAGTGGTTGAAGCGTTTGCTCGTCACGCCGAAGACCCGAGTTCGATTCCCCGCATGGGTACAATGTACAATGTGTGAAGCCCATTTCTGGTGTCCCCGCCGTTATATTGCTGGAATATTGCTAAAAGCGGCGTAAAACTACACTCACTCACTCATTCATGTTGCAACTGTTGCAGTGCGTGTTATTGTAAGTCATGCTACAAATGGAAAACCTCCGTGTTGAGGCCTGTTATTATTCATGGGGACAAGTAATGTTGTAAATTTCCCCATGAAGAGAGACAAATGGTACTTATATGTTGTAGTTTATACCTTGATAGAAACCTGAGTATTGTAATTCATAGTCCTCAAGGGAAACCTACTGTCCGTCATGTTACTATTTGAAAACCTCAAGGCAGTACGCCATGTTTCTTTTGGAAAACCTCAATGCTGTCCGTCACGTTACCATTGGAAAACCTCAATGCTGTCCGTCACATTACTACTGGAAAACCTCAATGCTGTCCGTCATGTTACTATTGGAAAACCTCAATGCTGTCCGTCACGTTACCATTGGAAAACCTCAATGCTGTCCGTCACGTTACCATTGGAAAACCTCAATGCTGTCCGTCACGTTACTATTGGAAAACCTCAATGCTGTCCGTCACGTTACCATTGGAAAACCTCAATGCTGTCCGTCACGTTACTATTGAAAACCTGGAAAACCTCAATGTCCGTCACGTTACTATTGAAAACCCCAATGCTGTCCGTCGTACACGTGTCCCATCAATGCTGTCCGTCACGTTACTAAAACCTCAATGCTGTCCGTCATGTTACCATTCCGTCACGTTACGTCTGCGTTACTATTGAAAAACCTCAATGCTGTCCGTCACGTTACTATTGGAAAAAAACCTCAATGCTGTCCGTCATGCGTTACCATTGGAAAACCTCAATGCTGTCCGTCACGTTACCATTGGAAAACCTCAATGCTGTCCGTCGTTACCATTTGAAAACCTCAATGCGTCCGTCACACCATGCTGTCCGTTGGAAAACCTCAATGCTGTCCGTCACGTTACCATTGGAAAACCTCAATTGGAAAACCTCAATGCTGTCCGTCACGTTACTATTGAAAACCTCAATGCTGTCCGTCACGTTTCCGCTCTCAATGCTGTCGTCACGTTACGTGTTATTTGAAAACCTCATGTTACTATTGGAAAACATCAATGCTGTCCGTCACGTTACTACTTGGAAAACCTCAATGCTGTCCGTCACGTTACCATTGGAAAACCTCAATGCTGTCCGTCACGTTACTATTGGAAAACCTCAATGCTGTCCGTCATGTTACTATTGGAAAACCTCAATGCTGTCCGTCACGTTACCATGGAAAACCTCAATGCTGTCCCACTGGAAAACCTCAATGCTGTCCGTCACGTTACTATTGGAAAACCTCAATGCTGTCCGTCATGTTACTATTGGAAAACCTCAATGCTGTCCGTCACGTTACCAATGGAAAACCTCAATGCTGTCCGTCACGTTACCATTGAAAAACCTCAATGCTGTCCGTCACGTTACTATTTGAAAAGCTCAATGCTGTCCACCATGTTACTATTGGAAAACATCAATGCTGTACGCCATGTTACACATTGAAAACCTCAGTGGTGTAATCATGTTATTAATGAAAAACCTAAATGATGTACGTCATCAAAACTTCAGTGGTGTAAGACCTGTGTCCTGTAAGTCGTGTTACTAATATATGACCCAAATGTTGTGAACCCTTTCTCTGACGAAAATCATCAATGTTTAAATCCTATTATTTACTTAAAGCTGTAAGTCCGTGTTTGAGCCATGTTGGAACCCTCAGTGTTGCAACTGTTGGTCCTCAGCTGAATCCACAGTGCTGTAACTGTTGGTCCTCAGCTGAATCCACAGTGTTGTAACTGTTGGTCTTCAACTCAATCCACAGTGTTGTAACTGTTGGTCCTCAACTCAATCCACAGTGTTGTAACTGTTGGTTCTCAGCTCAATCCACAGTGTTGCAACTGTTGGCCTTCAACTGAATCCACAGTGTTGTAACTGTTGGTCCTCAGCTGAATCCACAGTGTTGTAACTGTTGGTCTTCAACTGAATCCACAGTGTTGTAACTGTTGATCCTCAACTCAATTCACAGTGTTGTAACTGTTGGTTCTCAGCTCAATCCACAGTGTTGCAACTGTTGGCCTTCAACTGAATCCACAGTGTTGTAACTGTTGGTTCTCAGCTCAATCCACAGTGTTGTAACTGTTGGCCTTCAACTGAATCCACAGTGTTGTAACTGTTGGTTCTCAGCTCAATCCACAGTGTTGTAACTGTTGGTTCTCAGCTCAATCCACAGTGTTGTAACTGTTGGTCCTCAGCTGAATCCAAAGTGTTGTAACTGTTGGTCTTCAACTGAATCCACAGTGTTGTAACTGTTGGTTCTCAGCTCAATCCACAGTGTTGTAACTGTTGGTTCTCAGCTCAATCCACAGTGTTGTAACTGTTGGTCCTCAGCTGAATCCAAAGTGTTGTAACTGTTGATCCTCAACTCAATTCACAGTGTTGCAACTGTTGGCCTTCAACTGAATCCACAGTGTTGTAACTGTTGGTTCTCAGCTCAATCCACAGTGTTGTAATTGTTGGTTCTCAGCTCAATCCACAGTGTTGTAACTGTTGGTCTTCAACTGAATCCACAGTGTTGTAACTGTTGGTTCTCAGCTCAATCCACAGTGTTGTAACTGTTGGTTCTCAGCTCAATCCACAGTGTTGTAACTGTTGGTCCTCAGCTGAATCCAAAGTGTTGTAACTGTTGGCCTTCAACTGAACCCCCAGTGTTGTAACTGTTTGCCTTCAACTGAATCCACAGTGTTGTAACTGTTTGCCTTCAACTGAACCCCCAGTGTTGTAACTGTTGGCCTTCAACTGAACCCCCAGTGTTGTAACTGTTTGCCTTCAACTGAACCCCCAGTGTTGTAACTGTTGGCCTTCAACTGAACCCCCAGTGTTGTAACTGTTGGCCTTCAACTGAACCCCCAGTGTTGTAACTGTTTGCCTTCAACTGAACCCCCAGTGTTGTAACTGTTTGCCTTCAACTGAATCCACAGTGTTGTAACTGTTGGTTCTCAGCTCAATCCACAGTGTTGCAACTGTTGGCCTTCAACTGAATCCACAGTGTTGTAACTGTTGGTCCTCAACTCAATCCACAGTGTTGTAACTGTTGGCCTTCAACTGAATCCACAGTGTTGTAACTGTTGGTCCTCAACTGAATCCACAGTGTTGCAACTGTTGGCCTTCAACTGAATCCACAGTGTTGTAACTGTTGGTCCTCAACTCAATCCACAGTGTTGTAACTGTTGGCCTTCAACTGAATCCACAGTGTTGCAACTGTTGGTCCTCAACTGAATCCACAGTGTTGTAACTGTTGGTCCTCAACTGAATCCACAGTGTTGTAACTGTTGGTCTTCAACTGAATCCACAGTGTTGTAAACTGGTTGGAATCTATAGTGTTGTAACTGTTGGTCCTCAACTGAATCCACAGTGTTGTAACTGTTGGTCCTCAACTGAATCCACAGTGTTGTAACTGTTGGTCCTCAACTCAATCCACAGTGTTGTAACTGTTGGTCTTCAACTGAACCCCCAGTGTTGTAACTGTTGGTCCTCAACTGAATCCACAGTGTTGTAACTGTTGGTCCTCAACTCAATCCACAGTGTTGTAACTGTTGGTCTTCAACTGAATCCACAGTGTTGTAACTGTTGGTCCTCAACTGAATCCACAGTGTTGTAACTGTTGGTCCTCAACTGAATCCACAGTGTTGTAACTGTTGGTCCTCAACTGAATCCACAGTGTTGTAACTGTTGGCCCTCAGTGAATCCACAGTCCTGTAGCTTTCACACCTTAAAGAACTACAACAAGATTTTTTTCTTTACTCAGCAATATAAGCTCCACTGATATTTCATTGCTACTTGGCTACAACATTTACACACATGGCTGGGAGTATTCCGAGATCTAGATGGCAACACGCCATAACAGTCCCTACATGTATGTTTTCCACCAACGCCATAACCCTGAGACTTCCAACGAACTGGATTGTGTTCTTTAAGTGGGTTTATGCTTTCCACATGTACACTGGCGACAACTGGTATGTAATTCTACGCCTATTTCCCGCTGTGGTCACTTCAAACAAAGACCTTTCATGCCGCCATGAATATGAAATCAGAAGAGTGTTTTATACAATCGCAGGTATTTAGATGAAATTGACACGCCACCGGTCAAGTCTTTGACAAACTGAAATATCACCACGTGGAACGCCTTACTGAGAGTTCTCAGTATTCAAATACATGACACATGTGTCAATATTGCTGGGTGACATTGGGGAAAGGGCGAGAAATGTTGCCTCCAGCAGAAAATACAATGTAATTTCTCCTCGTGCATACTACGTGCATGGTTCGAAGTGAAACGCTATTTTTGAATGAATTTCTTGGTGGACTCAAAGTTTCGTATCAACAGGACTGGCATTCTGCACTAATAAAAGGCACAAAAACATTTGGATACACGTTGTTTAAACCTATGTTTGTGTTGAATCCTATATCTTCATAGTTAGCTATTTTAAACATAGACGTGCGCTTGCTCAGTTTAGATCGGGGTCTCATAAACTACGAATAGAAACTGGCAGGTATATTGGTGAGGCTAGAAATGACAGATTATGTAATATCTGTAAATTGCCATATATAGAAGATGAATATCACTTCATACTTATTGGTAATAAATATCAAGCTTTGCGGCGACTGTATATCCCTTTACACTTTTATAAAATATCCAACAATCCAAAAAATTAATACGCTTCTGCAATCATCAAATGCAAGCATCTTAAAACATTTATCTGCATATATGTATATATATATATATATAAATATATCAAGCTATGTTACTGAGACAGCCTTCGTTATAACATATTTTCTCACTCTGTAATTCTCAAAGTGTAACCTGGGCCTATGGCCTATATTACTTTTCTGAAATATACCACCAACCACCATACTCAAAAGACGTTAAGGAACATCCGAGTATATACATTACAGTAATCAATTTGTCATGACAGACAAACTATGGTATTAAGGAATAATCGGATGTTCTTTAACTTACTTCTTTTCAATAGTACAGTACAACCAGAAATTATTGAGAATTTAAAGATTTCACTCATTACTCACGTGTTAAATGTGAATATTAGCAGAATTTAACTCCAGATTCAAAGACAGGCGAACAGTTAGTATTTTGTCGGGTCACCATGGGCAGCAATGCAGGCTTCAATGCGGCGGGGCATACTACTGACCAAAGAAGTTAGAAAGTCGTGGTCCATGCTGTCCCAATATCGGACCACCTTTTCTTTCATTTCAGCAATATTTGTCAGATTTTTCTTTTTGACACTTTCCTTCATAAGTCCCCAAACATTTTCTATTGGAGTTAGGTCAGGGCTATAGCTTGGCCAATCTAATAATGTCATATTTTGGGTCCGAAACCAGGCCTATGAATGCTTTGAACGATGTTTTGGGTCGTTGTCCTGCTGGAAAATCCAAAACTTTCCATAGAACACGTGAGCACATGGAAGTAAATGTCCCTCGAGAATATCTGTGTACCGCTCACTGTTCATATTCCCTTCAAATACACAGAGGGGCGTTGCCCCTAACACAGATATGCCACCCTACACGTTAAATTTCGGACTGTACTTTGGGCGCTGATACAAAGGTTTTTCAGTTTGTTTGGTCCAGAATTTCAGTGTATTAGGAAACAGCCACACAGAACTTTCATCGGAGAAAATCACATTGTCCCAGTTAAAATTTCTATGCTTTAAGCACCGGTTCAACCTTCGCTCCTTTTGTTCAGGTTTCATGATCGGTGATGGAATTCCTCGACTTTTCTGCCAACCCATTGCTTGCAGCTCAGTTCTAATTGTCTCCTTACAGACAGCCACAGTTCCTCTATCAATCATATCCAGCCTTAAGTTTTCTAAACTCCTTCGTTTGTTTTTTAGAAACAATAATACCAAGCCGCCTCCTGTCACCGACAGTCAATTTTTCTGGGCCTACCTGCGTCTCCCTGGTGTTCAATGCCATATCCATTTGCAATATTTTTCAAAACACGATAAACAGTTTAGCTGATCTGATGTCCTTGTTATAATACTCTAAAATTAACTTCCTCTTCTCTAAATCATCCATACTGAGGATCACTGAAAATGTCGTCTGCTAGCAAGTAAACAAAGGGGATAACTGTTCACAAACTAATGAAAAAGGATTAACGGAGTTGTCTCTCTTGAATTAAACCGAGCACTTGATAGCAGGTCAAGGTTGTTTATACTAGAAATCCAATTTAACATATTCCTAAAATTCTCAATAATTTCTGGTCATACTATATATTGTCTTGGAATCTTTATTGTGTCAGATTTGTCTCCGCTATGCTATTTGTCAGTAAATCTGTTCGACTAAAATATTTGAAATACCATGTAGGTTTGTTTTGATAAATGTTATATTCACTATACGCCCATCAGTACTCATTGGAACGTAGTTGGCATGGAAACAAGTCACTGGAACTAATCAGATATATACTGTGTTTATTACTTGTTGTGGGGTTACTGTTAATCCCAGTTCAACAATGCGTGCATCAACCTTATACAGCGCTATCAGAAGATTCTAGAGAATTAAACGAAATGCAATTGCGTCTGATAAAAAAAATATTCTGAGGGTCTTCAAGAGCAGCACAGTTCCAGGAATGGTTTGGAGAAGCAGGTTAAGGTACTACACACCATCTTACATAAGAAACTGTGCTGTGTCATAAACAGACACAGGCAATGATAGAAACGGTCTTCAGATTTAGTAGGGTTGTGTTTTGGCCAATAAATTGTTTTGCAATATATTGCGATTCAGGTACCCGTATTGCGATATATAGGGAACTTAAGAGTTTGACAGTCAGTAATTGTACGTGTCAATCCTATTTTCTACATTATAAGTCTCTAAACATACATGTTATGGTTCTGATAATTATCTCAAAATTAGGTTGCATAGTCATGGATTCTATTTGCTTTTTATACAGTTTGTTGCATTACAGTATTCCGTTTTATGATTGAATAACGACGGAAACATTTGTTGTGAATGAAAGTGTGAAGATTTTGATTTAAACCATAAAGATCATCACAAAAACGTCATATATGTTCTTTACCCATATACCGGTTCTCAGAAAAAATATTGCAATACGTATTGTTTGAAAAGCGTAATGCGATATACCGGTAATACCGTGCAGTCCTACTGTTTAGAAGCAATCATTGTGTTTACTTACTAACTGGACAAACACAATCTGGAGCATTATTTTCAGCGTTTGTACTGTTGAATAAGACACAAGTGTAAAACTAATGCAGTTGTATGTCAAAGCACTCGGGGGAACGAATTTGGACTTTTTCCATTTTGAAGTTTGGTATGCATTTGATATAAGTTCACATATTTTATGTGGCTACGTTGTTTAAGGTGATTTAACTTTGTGGTCGCGGAAGACTATTTATCAGAACTACGGTTTAATATGGACACTTCGCTTGTGTCGAACAAGGAATTTCTCGAGTTTTGGGTATGTGCTGTGTCAATGAATAAAACGATGGTCACACTACTGGGCCAATCGTTAAGTCCGTATGGCCTAGTATCAAGGGTACTAAAACACAATGCTCATGCGAAATTAAATTCTAACTCACTTTCTCATCGTTTCAGAGACGTACTCCCAACTTCAACTTCTACTCTCAGACGTCGTTGGACAACATGTTGTTGTCGCAAGGCTGTGGTCGGAACGCATATAACATCCCTACGACGACAGAGGCCCCTACACTGGAGGTTCCAGCGTGGGCCGAGGAGAGGTTCAGCCCCGAAAGGAATGATCCTGAAGAACGGTCGACACCCTCACCTGACAGATCTAGACAGCAGCCAGACCCGTCTAGAGGACGACAGACAGTCCCGCCTAGAGGTCGACAGCCTGACCAATCGAGGAAGCAGCCCCCGCGCAGAGGAGGGGACATCAATGTTGATGATATAACCAATAGGATTAACCCAACAGGTCCAGGAGCAGGTAAAGCGGTGCATAGCATGGTCAGTAGTGGTGGTCCGATTAATTGAAATAATCGAAGATTGGTCGCAGTGACTAAACGACCAAGCAATCGATCATGTTTTCTCATAATCGAACACAAACAATTCTGGAATACTTGTTTGCATTAACAATATTTTTCACAAGGTTGGTGTTGTCTGTTACATTTCATGACCACTACAAGCTCATTCCAAGTCATCATTGAATTTATCTTAAAGACTCCAAGAAATTAATGTTCCTAACCTACTAGTCATCCTTTAAAGCTGTGAAATTTGCAAATGCATTTTGTGCAATTTGCAAAAACACCAAAGAACTACGGGGGTTTTCTTTAATTTTTGTCCATTAACAAAAATAATCAGGAACAGTTCATAAATGATGCTAACCAATTATTTTCGATGATTGATCGGTTGTAATGAACCAATCATCAATTATGAGATTTTAACCAATTCCCAGCACAAATGGTCTGTAATGAGGAGTGTGTGTAAGAATTTGTGGAATCGAACCCGGGCCTTCAACGTGACAAGCGAATGCATTAACCACCCAGAACCTAACGTTAGCACACACCAGAACACACCAGCGCCAAATATTCGTGTTCTATAAGGCCTACACTCACTCCGTTTTGACAATGCTTCTTGATGACCACCTTCAAAGTTTACCGTTGTGTTCAGTAACAATACATTGAAATCTACTCAAAAGAAGTTAAAAGAGTGCTAAATTGTTTCAAACGATAAAACCACAATCTGGGATGTTTTGGATGGCGAGGTGTCTCGGGTTGTGCCTTAGAAGAACAGGGTTCGAGTCCCGCCAGTGGTAAATTATGTCTCCCCGAAGGATCGGGAGACATATTGTTTTTGGTTGAGTTTCTGTCGGCGTCGGCGTTCCCATTGTTTCCGGAACATAACTCTAAAACTACTTGAACAATCTTCGCCAAATTTGGTATACTGCCTCTCTACATCATGCAGAGGTGCCTTTTGGGGTTTTCTTTCAATTGTATTTTTTTTCTTTTTCATATTCTGATCATATTTATTAGAGAGATACAGCATACGGATGATCTGGTGTTGGTCCATGCTGCTACAGTTTCCATGTATCACAGTATCACCTATCTTGTTCTTGATTAGATTCCAGTGAACAAGTTACATCCATAACTGAATGTGATAAAATTTGAGTTTGAGTTCAGCATTCGTTGAAATTTGTATTGACTATAGACAACTCTGTGACAGATTCATTCATGCATTTAGAAATAGAATCATTTACAATTCTGAATGTTTTGTAAAATATAACTGTGGAGTTGTTGATTTGTTGATAAGCAATTAAGTTCAATTGAATATAAAAATATTAAATAAAGACTTTACTAACATAATAACATACTATCAATAATATGTATTTTCATACTTAGAGATTTTGAAACTGAAGGAATCAAATGAATTTGTTTGAGGTCTCAACATTGAATTAGTTGAAGGGGGGGAGATCTGTTTTTACGAGTAAAAACACTTTCTAGTTGTAAACCACAGTCTTGGTGGTTTCTTGCTATGGCTAAAATATACCAACATTCATATTCCAAACCAGACAGACATTGGTCTTCTCGATGACATATCTGGTTTCTCCAAAGCATTGTTATTATCTATCATACATTTATTGATGTTGAAGCAGAGATAATTGGAACTATAACTGGGGTCTTGTAACTCAGGATGTTACTTGAATGTTGTTGCAGACCCTTCCGTGCAGATGATACAGGCGATGTTGGAGCTGACGCGGACGGTGCAGGAACTTCAGCGACAAATGCAGAACCAGGTGAGTCTACGTGCAGGATGTGTATGCGCAGTGGTGTCTTGTTCTTGTCAAGGACACCTTAGTACAGTGTTACCTGTAGATTTTGAAGCTGAAACGATAAGTTTGCCCAAAATATGTAGGTAAAAAACGTTAAACCTGCAACATCTCATACAGTGAACGATTTTACAAATCAATACAAGTTACTGCAAGGGAATACAAGTTCTGTACAAGATAGAGTGGTAGTACAGTTTCAATATAAATACCAAGGCACTTATAATAAAACGTACCAATAATAGCAATAAAGATAGTGATGATAATTTACCTAGATATGCCACAGAGGTCAAGCTTCCAATATTGGTTAGGACTGAGAATGCAGCGTGAAAAGTGATCTTGAAGCTTACAGGCCAGTCTTGACACCCAGTCTAAACATAGGAGCTAGAGTACCTCCTGTCCTCTATCGAATCTGATCAGAAAGAGTGCAATACAGTTATAACACTCCATTACAATGAATGGCACTGCCAAGTAATAACAGTATTTGTTTTGTGGGGAATAAAGGGTGCAATAATCGCTGTCGCTGAGAGAGTTGACTGCTGAGATTGTTGATTTGAGGGAGACTGAATTGGGGTTGGAGGGGGTGGAAGTTGATTGTGTATGGGTCATTGTGACACGAATCTGGGGCAAGTTTAGGTGGTATGACTGTTATAATGAAACAATCTACAGAGCTTACGTACAATTTCGCCAAAGGAAAATTTCTGGTGACAAAGTGAGTGAGGCTAATGCCGTGAAGTGTGTTAGTGTACGTTGTATACTTGACCCGTACAATCTACCTGACCGTTGATGCTGAGCTCGAGTGGTCACAAAAGGCTCCGTTCGTCACCACGTGCCCCTACGGAAACCAGCTTGTCCCAAAATGACACGAATGGTCACGCAGAGTTTATTTTAATCAGTAAAGTAAACTTTTTCGGCGGCTACTATGGGTCAATACATATAATTCTGTGTATGTCTCCGTGCTCAGCTTCAGCGGCGGACAGGACGTACCTGATTTTTGTTTTAGATTATAGCTTATACGTTGTCTATTGTATAAACATTTATTGTTAACAATTCGATTGTCATTGTGCTATATTCGAAGTGCAACAGTTGCTGTATCTTCTTTGAGTGGCATTTAGAAGCTGGTATGATGAACAGGAACATTTCTTTATGGATAGACAACTTCATATTTTAACTTCTTTTTTGCAATAGATGCGACGTTTCGGGGTAGATGTTAACACCGTTATCGCTTGCTTGATAACGGTGTTAGCATCTACACTTGATAAACGAAACGATACATCCATTGCAAAAAAGAAGTTGTCTGTCCATAAAAAATCGTTCCTGTTAGTCGCTGTATCGGTACGGTATTCTCTATTTATCCCCGTCTTTGGATGATATATGTTCGGGAGCAGGACAATTGCCACCCGGACAATTGCCACCTAGGACAATTGCCACCTATTCAAAGGTAGATACTGACTGTATACTAAAAACTGTATTTTCACCGGGACGGTTCTTTATCACCTCTAGGATATGAGAAACCACAATCTAAATCAGATAACCAGTGGTTGGTACTTTTAATTACATCCTTTTCAGGAACGCGAGACACGTGCTCTGAGAGAAGTGCTTTCCGGCTGTGCCATGTGCAGAGGATCCGGAGCGAGTGAGTTGATATAGCAAGTCTTCCCAATACATAATGCCTAGTCTTCATGAACAAAAAACTTACATTAAATTTTTGGTTCCTCCGTTCAGTTTTGGTTCGAACTGCTGGCAAGACTCTTCGATGGTTGGTTGGTTTGTTGTTTAACGCCGCACTCAGCAATATTCTAACTATATAGCGGCGGTCTGTAAATAATCGAGTTTTGATCAGACAATCCAGTGATCAACATCATGAGCATCGTTCTACGCGACTCTTTGTTGAACGCCGTCGAGTATGGATCCCTCATGTTATTCAATATTGATATTTATGTCATAGAAATTATGCTCTCATATCAGTGAATTTATAATCTATATATCATTGAAATGGTCAGTTCGTACTAACCAAACTTCCAATTTGATATTTAGCGTGTTTGGAGAGGGGCAATAGTTAATAATTGGTTCCTGAAATTATGAGAAATATCATCTCAGCCTAAAAATATATTGTTCCGCTCAGACATGTATACAACGGTCTTTGATGCCATGTTTTAATCCAAGTCACCCTATATTTTCTCTCTCTTTCCTTCAAGATGATCAGCCCTCGCCCTTGAACGTAAGGCGATGCTCATCCAATCCGTGTTTCGAGGGAGTCAGATGCGTTGATACGGAGACTGGCTTCCGGTGTGGTGCCTGTCCGCGTGGTTACCATGGAGATGGAATAACATGCACGCGCCACACCTCGTGTGCAGACAGTCCATGTTACCCAGGTAAAGAGATATTTTAGCTGAAATTAAATTACGAAATAAATCGTGTGTGTGTGTGTGTGTTTAAATTGAAAAGGTAGCGACAAACGTATTTTGATCATAAATGCCCCCTAACTACGAAGAGGCCCCTGCGTATCCGACTACATGGCTGAAGTACACCACATGACGCACATATTTATTCGTTCCTGAGACGAGCAAGCACTAAGGAAAACGACGATTAAACACTCGGAGTAAACAACGATTTGAAAAGTTGTCGGCGTTTTCCGAGTGTTAGTCGTGTCTGAACCGACGCGGATGGCAGCTAGGTTGTAAAATGGAAATATACTTATATGTTCAGATGTTACAACCTTTACATTTTTATAAATTTAGCAACCTTTTATTCCGATAACCGTTCGGTTCACTGACAAGGACGTTCAAACAGATACTCACACGAACTGGTGACCTCTTGTGAAAGTTACGAAGAAGTACCGAACTGTATATATTACCAAACAAAACAAACAGTAATGATCATCTAGCAGATCAGTACGGAAGCCTTTTAGAGCCATGCGGTTTTTTAAATAAATTTAATTTAAAAAGTTGAAATTTCAAGATGTTTAGTTGAAATTTCAAGATATATATTAAGTAGAAATTTTTTAAATGATCTTGAAATTTCATGATCGTTATCTTGAAATTTCAGCTTAGTATCTTGAAATTTCAAGAAAAATAAAATAATTGAATGGTCCTAAAAGGCTTCCGTGTAGCACCTCTTGAGCTTCCACAAATCATCAAAAAGTATTTCAACATGGAGAAACAGTATCTTCAGTAAGGTGTACCGACTAAGCGATTAAGCACTATGATCACACATGGGGTCAATAAATGAGATGAAAGTATACCGGTTCGTTTAATATGTTATTGAAAACTGAAAGTACTGTTGCAAACTTTTATTTTGTCTTCTTGACCATCATTGATTCCTGCAACAGTTTGAAAAACTTAACCTGTGGCTGTGTAACTTAGTCTAAAATATACATTGTTTCAATGAAGCAGGGGCGTAGGAAGACAAAACCATATCTACCATACCATAACTACTGACTAAACATGAGTACAGATAAATTATCGCCAAACAATGATGGTTTTTATTTGAAATCAAGTATATAATCATATTAATCAAAATGTATTGTTGTTTTTTTTCTTTCGGTCATATCGAATCATTCTTGACTAAATTATTAGCTGTCTCGACATAACTAAAACATGGAACGGCACTTCCTCATGGTAACAATTTACACAACTAGCACTTGTAAGAATTATCAATAGAATCTTCACCTTAATCTCATGACTCCTGTCTGCAGGAGTCCGGTGTGTGGACGGAGAGCGAGGCTTCCGCTGCGGATCCTGCCCCCCGGGGCTGACAGGTGACGGGACACAACGAGGGTGCCAACCCATCAGGGTCACATGTGCCGACAGACCATGTTTCCCGGGGGTAACATGTGAAGACACAGCCAGGGGCTACGACTGTGGTCCCTGCCCCACAGGTTACTCAGGCAACGGCACCGTGTGCGAGGACATCGACGAGGTCAGTCACCACTGTGCTGCCTGCCATTGAGTTTCAATGTCAAGATGGGTTTGGTTTGTTGTTTAACGCCAGACATTTACATTTGGAAGTGTTAAGTGAGTGAGTTTAGTTTTACGCCGCACTCAGCAATATTCCCGCTATATGGCGGCGGTCTGTAAATAATTGAGTCTGGACCAGACAATCCAGTGGTCAACATCATCAGCATCGATCTACGCAATTGGGTTACGATGATATGTGTCAACCTAGTCAGTGAGCTCACCACCCGATCCCGTTAGTTGGCTATTACGACAAGCATAGGTTGCTGAAGGCCAATTCTAACCCGGATTGTCACAGTCTCAATGTCAAGATGCACGCATGGTTTAGAACCATCATCAAATATCAGTTATGTGCTGATTGATTCTTGGAAAATAATAGGGTTTTGATTTTTAAAGACAGCTATTTTCTAGCATATTTAGGTATATGAGTTGGTTGTTTTGTAGTTCATTTGGAACATATGTATATCGTGTAAAAAGAATAAACATAGTATCGACTATCAAAGTAAGATTAAAAAACCAAAATGTATGAGTTTTTTATACGTGTATCTGGTGATGTTAAGTACATGTTGTTTCAGAACCAAATTGTCTTCATAAGACATATATCGACTTCAGTCAGGAGAAACCAGCATATTGTCACCGATGTATATAATGAACATCAATAATATACGTCTCTTATGATTTAGCTCATCCCTTAACCAGCTCATAAAAACAATCATTTTCACCAAAAAATGTAACTTCGAGTAATAATGAGAGATAGGATCTAAATATGTGACAACTTAATTCTTTACTGAACACGACAACAGCGCAATATCCTGATAAAGTGCATTTCAGACTACCAAAAAGTAAAACGAATTAACAAAGAAACTAACCATGGCCAGTGCCCTGCGTTTTTGGAACACGAAGCCAACGCTCAAGCCATTTGTGAACTGTTCGGTCGATGAGTAGCCTTAGAGCTCATACAGTTACTATGGTTTAACGAACACAAACGGACCACTAACTTTCGTTCGACATAACCGTAGTTCGTTTTATGAAGTTTGCGTAAAAGACACAGCCAGTGGCTAGACCAAAGAAACGGGGCCCTTATTCTCAAAATGTTCGTAGCCCTAAGAACTTTTGTCGTAGCCAATGTGATAAGAATGGGGTTAAGAAGTTCGTAGGGCTACGAACGTTTCGAGAATAGCTAGCCAGTTTCTTATATCTGAGTTCGTTGTAAGCGTGTTCGTTTTAACCGTAGTTTACTATATTTCATGCTTGTGTGTTATGTTTTGTCTCCAGTGCCGCTACAGCCGCCCATGTGATGACTTGGCCATGTGTGAGAACCTGTCCCCGGGGTTCACCTGCTCAGCCTGCCCCCCGGGCTTCACTAGTCCAGCGATTCAAGGGGTGGGGATCGAGGCCGCACAGCGTCAGAAGCAGGTGGGTTTCCATGACAACTATGTTATGAGAGGGCAATCGTAGGTTCAGAAACGGCAATCATCAAATATCAAATGACAAATAATCAAAAACTTAAAAAGGGGGCGGTGGGGTAACCTAGTGGTTAAAGCCTTCGCTCGTCACGCCGAAGACCCGGTTTCGATTTCCCATTATGGGTACAATGTGTGAAGCCCATTTATGGTGTCCCCGCCGTGATATTGCTGGAATATTGCTAAAAGTGGCGTAAATCAGCAAAAAAGTGCATAATATTTAATGATACCCGGATCTAGAGTATCGCCATTCAATAACAATTTCTTGATTTTGTTGGGGGTTCTTTATCTTGCCACCATGAAACCAGTTATAATATTATATTGCCGTACAGTTTAGATCGAAAATAATCATATTCCAGACAATTAAATGTCTCAAGAAATGAAGAATACACTACTCAATTTTTGTTGAGGAAATTCATATTCTTCAGCGTACGCGACCAGTAAATTGAAACTGCCTTTAACTCGATTTATCCAGAGACAACGTAGTTAAGTGGTCATGTCGAATCATTGCGGTTGCGTTGTTACACTGGCACTCGGCATACCTCGAACCGATAATCGAACATATGCGATGATCATCGGGACTTCCAATGCCAGTTTTCATTGTGTGTGTAACATAGATACATGTAATATAAACTATTTAACTGTCTTATTAAACTGGATAGTACATATGAAACGTGCAATTTACTTTAACTTCTCACCTGCCCAGGTGTGTACGGACATCAACGAGTGCGAGAACAGCAACGGCGGGTGCGTCCCCAACTCCGTCTGCATCAACACTCCGGTGAGTTTTCAACATGACTGCTATTGTACAGTCTAGTGCATTACGTGAGAATATCATCGGGGCTTTTATTGTTTTGTTTTGTTTTGTGTTGTTTTAACCGACCTCGTTATCCGAAGACCATGTTGACAACTGTTATCCCTTCTTCTTATTATTATAGGATATTTATATAGCGCACATATCCACGCACTAGTGCATGCTCAAGGCGCTGGTATTTTTTTCCCTCGATCATTGGATGTCAATCTCAACGGCACATCGCATTATCAATCTCAACTCCCTGGGGAGTATACAACTCTTGCAGCCACTAGGCGCACCGAGTTATTGTAACTTTCTCATCCTAACGAGGTACCCATTCACAGCTGGGTGGACTGGGACACATAGTCACAGTACTTTGTCCATGTTTACTGCACGTTGCTATACCCGCAACTAGGTGTTTGCACGTATTCATGTGGCCACCATCTGGTCATATACCAACGGATTCGTGGGTTCTTTTAAGTGCACAGGGTTGTGCCAACACTGAAAGAGTCTGCACACAAAGTTGACTCCAAGGTTTTTACACCCGGTCACAGGTGGACTCGATCCCGACACCTCAACCTCCCTTGATCACTAGCCTGGCGCCTTAGCCTGTGATGTCCTATCACAGTTGATATTCAGAATGATATTTTGTCTTTTATTTTAAAATATCCTCCAAATCACTAACTGCGTGTTATGGAGTACTGTATCTATATTGTTTTCTGAAAGTGGCTGTTCTTATTAAAATTCACCATAACCGATATTTAAAAAATATCTAGCTACATCATTGTAATCAATAACAGTGTCATTCAGCATTAATTGCTTTTAATAAGCCTGTTAGGTGCTAAAAGGTCAATAGTCTCACGGCTTATTTCACCGGGTACCCATTTTCTGCTGGGTGAACAGAGGTAATTTTGAACAAACTCACTTGCCTAAGGTGAGATCACATGTGCTTCCTTGTGGGGCAGGACTGTAGTCCTAGAAACTCTCAGGAGTCAAGCTGTCACACACGGTCACCCATCTAACGACTCTCCGCGCCCGACGTTGCTGAACGTCTACTGATTTGTGACCTGAGCTCTATGTCCAAGACCACATGTCCCCACATTTAACTCATTTGAGAAATATGTGTGGGAAATATCAATGCATTTTCAGGACTTTTCTTATGCAATAGGATTTCTTAAGGTATAAATGATTTCCGACAGAATAAAAGGACAATCAGAAAATCTGTAGTTTCTTTCTCCTTCATTTGTCAGATCAGTCGTTCCTCTGTACTTTGATACACTTTCTTGTTAAGAAAGTTAGTTCATGTGAAGCACTCGTAAAATGATTATCTTCGCAAGACCCTTGAACATGAACCAGTCATTGAAACCTTGAACGTTGGAGTGGATCTAAGTATGAGTATGAGAGTGAGTGAGTTTGGTTTTACGTCGCTTTTAGCAATATTCCAGCAATATCACGGCGGGGAACACCAGAAATGGGTTACACACATTGTACCCAAGTGGGAAATCGAACCAGGGTTTTCGGTGTGATGAGTGAACGCTTTAACCACTAGGCTACCCCACCGCCCGGGAGTGGATCTGAACGGGCTGCACCTTATATTATAACCAACAGTAGTCGGCTGTCGAACCTGATACACGTACACCCGTTCACCCAGCCAGCTAGAAGCACAGATATCTTTGACACTGGTGTTCATTCATAACATTAAAGAGTATATATATACTCTTAAAAAAGTAGGGGAACTTCATTTTGAATTTACGATTGAAAAAGTTGGGAGATAATATGAAATTTATGATAACAATGCTGTTGTTTGTACAGTAATCGCTCTTGAAAGATGATTGGTGTGTGACGTGAAATTTGCATGTGTACGATTTTCATTTTCAAACCCCCAAAAAACCCGCCAAGAAACAAACACTATCAGCTGTTAAAATTAATGGTCTACAGTGATTTATCGACCTTCTTGAAAAATGCCAAAATCAAGAATGACACCCCATGCACGTGTATGTTGCTACTGCGTTGTGCATGTGCATCCCATGTTTAGGGGTGTTGATAAAGAGAAATGGTGGTGCGTTCATAAGATGTCTGTCATTGAAAAGTTGTTTAACGCTTATACTTCCTATCCAAATTGAAAGTTCCGGCTCCCCTACTTTTTGAAGAGTATATATGTGGTGAAGAGTTCCCAACACTATTTTCACTTTCAGGGTTCCAGGCAATGCGGTGACTGTCTGCCAGGGTTTGTAGGGAACCAAACTGTAGGATGCCGGGAGAGCGGACTTCTGTGTCCTGACGGGAGTACGAGGTGCCACGAAAATGCCAAGTGCGTCCGTCGACCAGGACAGGAGGGCTACTTCTGCCAGGTAAGGTTTGTTTGTTTGTTTGTTTGTTTGTTTGTTTGTTTGTTGCACTCACCAATATTCCAGCTACACAACGGCGGTCTGTAATTATCTAGTCTGGACCATACCACCCAGTGACTGACATCATGAGCATCGTTATCATTATGCATATGGGATATGATGGCATGCACCAGCAGAGTCAACGAGTCTGACCACCCGATCCCCTCAGTCGCCTGTTACCAAAAGCTAGGGTTGCTATATACCAACCAGTTCTAACCGGAATGTCAACTTTTTGGGTAATACGTTTCTGTTACATACTGCTCTAAATCTCCCCGAAAAGACGTTTATCTGTTATTTACACTTACTGAACAAACCATGTATATAGTATGTGATTAATGGAGGCCAAACCTCGAGTGTAGCTCATTGAAAAGGATGAGTAGGCTACATGAGACAGGTGCAAGTGTGTTAGAAGTCTTGCCAGTTTGAGATAAACAAGAAGTGGATATTTGATGAATTTAATACGGGTATAATATACCCGTAATATGATACAATAAATAAATGTAATAAATGTGCATGTATAATGCGCGCAATCCAGACAGACATGCCTGCTCAAGGCGCTACAAGGTATGACGATGTCTACTGGTGTGTTTGTGTTTCTCTGTGTGCCTGAGGGGGAGAGGGGGTGCCGAGTAAAGTTTTCCTAAAGTAATTTTTTGTCGACTCCACATTTAAAGTGTTTACTTCCGACCGGCAATTAAGTTATGACTATGCATTGAGTATGTTTATGTGATTATACTCTTAATCCTTCCAGACCCGTGAAGGTCCGGGTTAGAATGTGCCTTCAGTAACCCATGCTTGTCGTAAGAGGCGACTAACGGGATCGGGTGGTCAGGCTCGCTGACTTGGTTGACACATGCCATCGGTTCCCAGTTGCGCAGATCGATGCTCATGCTGTTGATCACTGGATTGTCTGGTCCAGACTCGATTATTTACAGACCGCCGTCATATAGCTGGAATATTGCTGAGTGTGGCATAAAACTAAACTCACTCACTCACTTAACACTTCCAAATGTAAATGTCTGACATGCTGCATAATTGTTGCAAGTAATGACAATGTGGTTGTACACTTTGTCCGACAGTGTAAAGTCGGCTACGCCGGGGACGGCAAGATGTGTTTCCGCGACACCGACTTGGACGGTATCCCAGACCAGGATCTGCCCTGTAGTCACCGACGGTGTAGGAAGGTAAGTACAGGGGCTGTATTTGCTTCAGTCGATGGGAACTGGTATCTTTCATAAGCACTGACTCATCCTGTTGACACATTTTATTCGCGTTTTCGTTTGAGAATACTTCCCAGGGAGCTGAGAATATATAATCATGGAAACGAAAAAGGGAAAATATGAAAGCACAAGTGTAATTGAAGTGTTCCTTTATCTATTTCCAGAGTTTCACCCACAGTGCCATTGACAAGAATCCCGGAAAAGAGTAAAGGAACACTTGAACTTACGTGTGTTCCTTTATTCGTTTCCATGTGTATATATGAAAATCGAATGCAACGACCTGAAAAATACTGTAGCACTTTGAGGTGTTGATTTTGACGTTTTTATCATCATCGTCATCATCATCATCATTATCATCATCACCATCATAAATCCTTTCATCATCCAACCGTATATCCATCATCCATCAATCATTTATCATGATCATCATTATTATCATCATCATCGATCGTTTCATCGTCCTTTCATCCAACCATCAATCCGTCATCCACCAATCATTCATGCTCATGAAAAGAAAAAATATTCACTCACTAATTCCAGGACAACTGTATCGACGTGCCAAACAGCGGTCAAGAGGACGCCGATGGTGATGGCATTGGCAACTCCTGCGATGAGGACATGGACAATGATGGTATCATCAACAATCCGGTCGGTGGCCCTCGAGAATTGATAAATCCTAGCTACGCAATCTTTCTGGACTTAGAGGACAAACTGTTTCCATTCATTTATCGATTTTTCTACACTGTGGCCTATAGTCACGACATAGATGAAATACTGCCGTTTACTTTAAATTTTCACTCACATGTACACAGAAACTCAGGTTCGTTAGATAAACATTTTCATCACTCTGATCTGAATTTATAAGTCACCACAACAAGACAACAAGTTTTTTTATATTTAGGGGATAACTGTACTGTGTTTGACGAATTAGGGACGTATACCAGTGGTTATATAGCCGCAAATTTAGTTATATCGGCTACAATGAGTGAAGCCAATTTCTGGTGTCCCCCGCCGTGATATTGCTGGAAAATTGCTAAAAGCGGCGTAAAACCAAACTCAGTCAGTCAGTCAGTCAGTTATATCGGCGACGCTTAAGCGGCGTAACACTCAACTAACTCACTCACTCCATGTTAGCGGATGAGGGGAGTTAACATACCTAGGGCTTCTGCAAATGATAATGCCCTGAAAAACAGCGTTACCCAAATAGTGTAGGGATACATTCAAAGGTTTTGGTGAATCGGTTTTCAAATTGCGACCGTATATGCTGATTATACGGTCGGAAATTTATAGCATTGATCGTGTTACATGCTAGAATGAATTAGAATTGATTTTCAATGCTGCGGTGGAAAACAACATTCCGTCACTAACAAATGTACAAGAGGTAGATGTTATCACCATGCTTTCACACTTCAGGACAACTGCCCCCTGGTGGCCAACCCTGACCAGAGTGATTCAGAACGGGACCCTGACAAGAGAGGGGACGCTTGCGACAATTGCCCCACGATCCCCAACCCTGACCAGACGGACACGGACACTGACGGCCTAGGAGACAACTGTGATCCGGACATCGACAACGACGGTGAGACGCGGAGAAGTGTCAGATTAAATGAAAAGATTAAAATAATTCATAAATAGTATATGATTCATTAATTATGGTTTCTCTTCACCCAGACGTGTATTAATTACTTTGACAGGTATTCTTAACGAAGATGACAACTGTGTACGTGTTAAAAACGTTGACCAGGCCGATGTCGACAGCGATGGCGTTGGTGACGCCTGTGACAACTGTCCGAATATAAAAAATAAGAACCAGGTACGTGCCTTCAGGGAATAATTAAACTTCGGGTGTAACGAATGGTCAATATCTGGACTAAAATTCCGATTTCAATCGCTGAGATTAATTATTACTGGCAAACACAGAAGTTGCATTGCGCCTTCTTACTGGACCACAGACTGCTCAGACTTCATTTTCAATAGCCAGGTCAAGTTCCCTTTCTCTCTCTCTCTCTCTCTCTCTCTCTCTCTCTCTCTCTCTCTCTCTCTCTCTCTCTCTCTCTCACACACACACACACACACACACACACACACACACACACACACACAAAACACGGACAATCCTTGTTTTAGACCCGTGAAGTTCCGGGTTAGAATTGGTCTTCAGCAACTCATGCTTGTCGTAAGAGGGGACTGACGGGATCGGGTGGTCAGGCTCGCTGACTTGACATATGTCATCGTATCCCAATTGCGTAGATCGATGCTGATACTGTGGATCAGTAGATTGTCTGGTCCAGACTCGTTACTAAGAGACCACCGCAATGTAGCTGGAATCCACTAGGGGGTCGGTTCTTTAGTAATATATAGTTTGTTTAAGCATATCTGTACAAATTCCATATGTTTGATATTTGTTAGTTAGTGAGTTTAGTTTTACGCCACACACAGCAATATTCCAGCTATATGGCGGCAGTCTGCAAATAATCGAGTCTGGACCAGACAATCCAGTGAGCAACAGCATGAGCATCGATCCGCGCAATTGGGAACCGATGACATGTGTCAACCAAGTCAGCGAGCCTGATCATCCGATCCCGTTAGTCGCCTCTGGCGAAAAGCATGGGTTACTGAATATCAATATTCTAACCCGAACCTTCACGGGTATCATATTTGTTAGTACATGTACATTTTAAACACACAGTCAGTAACTGTGAACCTGTTCTCTACTGTCTGTTCTCTCCGGCAGTTCGACAGTGACAACGACCTCGTGGGAGACGTGTGCGATACCAACGACGATGAGTAAGTATATTTGTAGATAAGAGCTGCTGTTGTTTGTAGCGCCGTATTTTACAGTGCATCTCATCTCATCTTTATTCTCAAACACCCACCAACGGTGGTACATGAGACAAATAAATGCAAATGAATACAATAAATGCCAAGATAGCAGGGATGTACATCGACGTTTATAATACATATACATACTTATATTATAACTAATTGAAAAGCGTAAATGTTACAAATTAGATTTTATTGAGCCTTTTGGAAACAATTCTAATATATTTTGCTAAGTTACGTAAAGTGTTTGTTCTTTTGGGTTTGAGAAGGTTCGCCATTTTTTAGAGATTCGGCCATTGTAGAAATTGAAATGGGATAAAAATGGATCTTTCGGAAATGAAGACATTTAAAAGGATAATGGAACTCATCTGCAACTGCTGATGAGCAGCAGAGAGGGCAAAGTTGCAGAGTTGGTTCTGGTGGCGTACCCCGGGCTTTGATGCCTATTGTGTGTCTAGTACTGTACCCGTTATGTCCGAGGGTGCGGGGCGGTGGGGTAACCAAGTGGTTAAAGTGTTAGCCCGTCACGCCAAAGACCCGGGTTCGGTTCCCTATATAGGTACAACGTTTGAAGCCCATTTCTGGTGATCCCCGACGTGATATTGCTGGAATATTGCTAAAAGCGGCGTAAAACTAAACCCACTCACTCCAAGTGTGTGAGTCAGTGAATACGGTTTTACGCTTTTAACAATATTACAGTGACATCAAGGCTTGGGATGCCAGAAATGAGATTCACACATTGTGCCCATGTGGGGTATCGAACCCAAAACTTCAGCGTGACGAACGAACGCTTTAACCAATTGGCTACCCCACCCCCCTGGTATACGTCTAAGACCTTCGTTACTACTTCCTCCCAAGTCATGTCGACCGCCTCCGTGGTGTAGTGGTTAGAGCGTCTGCCCGGAGAGCGGAAGGTCGCGGGTTCGATCCCCGACCGCGTCATATCAAAAGACGTTAAAATATGCTGCTTGTTGGTCCCTGCCTGGCGCTCGGCATTAATGGGTACAACAAGGACTGGTCGGCTCTGAGTCAGTATAATGTGTCTGAGTGGGGTATTCATGCTTCACTGCGGCATGGTATCTCAGTGGGCTAGCACTATAAAACCAGCTTAAGTCTGGGCTAGTACAAGCAGCCGCACATACACATACACACGCATGCAGCGAAATATTCTCAAGCACGACGTAAAACCCAATTTCACCTCACCTCACCCAAGTCATGTCACATAACTGATATACTTTTCAATGAGGCGTTAACCACATCTGCCTCACTCACACAACCGAGCAAGCTGATATTCTGTTTCATCGTATGTGATGTTGAACAGCGACCGTGACGGCATACAAAACAACAAGGACAACTGCCCGATTGAGCCCAATGCAGACCAGGTGGACGCTGATAAGGATGGCCAAGGTGAGTGGACGGAGTTGGTCACGTGCATACCCATAGTAGAAACGTCCAGCAAGTTTCACTTAATCAGACTGAAACGAGAATCGGTTGCAGATGTTGAGTAAATGAGGTATTACTGGATGAGCGTATCATGGGTTTTAACAATGTATATGAGCGTTTAACGCCTCAATTTTACAACAATAACACTGCACGGGGAACAAGGATGGGATTCACGCATTATACCTTTGTGGTGATTAGACCTCGGGCCCTCGCCATGATGAGCGAACGCTCTACTCACTAGGCTATCTTGACGCCCTATTTTCAACGTTATGGTAGAGAAGTAAACTTAAAACACTTATTGGCCTGCACCACGTGACACATGACCGTTGTAGCCAGTCATGCGTTTTCACCGTGTTTTTTTCGCTGTTGTAGGTGATGCCTGTGATAGCGACGACGACAACGACAGGATTCCCGACCCTCTGGACAACTGCCCGTTAGTGCCCAACCCTGACCAGTTGGATACAGACAGTAAGAAAGTTTTCACACTGATAATAAGTTAAACCATACGTTGGGTGTTCGAGGACGTGAATTGTCTTGAACAGGTTGCTTTAGACACAGTTATCTTCCCAATCTGTAAAAGCAAATAGTTCATTTTAGTGATATTCGTTACATCTTCCCCGTATCTGGTTTCCTGACAAGATTGTATATCGTTACCCGTCCACTCTTTGCTGTGGTGACAACATTCCATGTGCTACGATGTATGATGTCAACTTGTCCTTGATTCCATTTCACGTATGTTATGCTTTTCATTTGCGCATGCTTGATAACGGTTTCATTTATTTATTTTATGTTTCATCTTGCGTACGCTTGATTCCCATGTCATTTATTTCATTGTTTCCACCTGCGTATGTTTGATTCTCATTTCAATCAGGACACTATATATACCCAGTTATCCCTTCAAACTTTTAAACAAAGATGTATTGATATTCATAAAGAGATATGGCGTGACAACCTTAATATGTTCTCCAAATTAACACTCTATAAGTCAATCAAAAATACTCTCCAGTTTGAGAGCTATCTCACGAGCATTCCAGTGAAAGTGTACAGAAATTCTTTGTGCTCTCTTAGGTGCTCACAGTCTCATGATTGAATATGGTGGTAAATTAGGTCTACCAAGAGATCAGTGATTATGTCCTCTTTGTGTTATTCCAGTGATAGAAACTGAGTCCCACTTCACCTTAGAATGCTCATTTTACGATGATCTCAGAAAACATCTTATCCCAAAATATTTCTGGGAATTTCCATCTCTCGATAAGTTTAAGCGGCTGCTGTTATGTCATAATGATATAATAACTAATCTTGGTAAGTACACATTGTACCCATGTGGGAATCGAACCCGGGTCTTCGGTGTGACGAGTGAACGCTTTAACCACAAGGCTACCCCACCGCCCCGAATTCTAGAAGAACCTGGCAGTCGACTGTTATTAACATGTAACGTTATTTTCATACTAATCCTAATCATGAGTATTTGTATATCCTTGTCATAAATATATCCTAATCAGGAAATGGCAAAGGAGACGTTTGCGAGGACGACAACGACGGCGACGGTCAACCTGATCCACTGGACGTGTGTCCTGACAACGGCGACATCTACGCCACCGACTTCAGGGCATACCAGACAGTGATCCTTGATCCCGAGGGAGACTCGCAGATCGATCCTAACTGGATCATTCTTAACCAGGTGAGCTATGAAAGGAATCCTCGGTGGTTGAGTCAGTTAGGCGGATGACTCTGGCGCTAAGGTGCCTGAATCTGGGTGTGTGGGTTCCAATCCTGGATTGGACTCAATCCAACAAAAGTACTAGAATCTGTACTTTGCTGAGAAAGTGTAATCCCAAATATAATATGTCTTATATGAAAGGGCGGCTCCAAGCCTGTATCATACAAGGTGATCTTCTAAGGGTTACGCCATACGGACAGTGTGTGAAATAGCCTCTGGCCCGCTAGCCCGTGGCTAATAAAAGTCCAGTCGGGCCAGTAAATATCCACAGTTACTGGCCCGACTGGCTGGTGAATTTTCATGGGGTCATTTTGTAAATATATAACTCTCTCCCAGTTGTCAAGTTATAATACACTTTTAAATCATGCAAGAGTATGGCCTGAAAAACATGTTCATCCTATTAGCAGCTTAATGATGAAACCCGTGTCATGCCGACAATAACTTATTCTCATCTAGTTTTGTAATCTTTTGCTTAGTTTCGGGCTAGTGAATTATTTGTGTCCTAGTAACTTTCAGGCACAGCTAGACCGACTGGCTAGCAATATTTGGAAACTATTTCGCAGGCTGCATCCAGAGCGTGTCAAAATTAGTATCTAGTGTATTTTAAGAAATGGCTTTCAACCGCTTTTCACTGTCAGAAAGGAAAGCAAACGGGGTACACATGGGTGGAAATAACCCATTGCCCGACGCCCGAATCCAGTGGGTTTTGTCGGGCAAGCAAATGTGTATATCACACCGACCGGTGTCCAGTTGACTTTCTAATATTAATTATGTTGTTTATTTAACAAATCAACAAGAAAACGGCCGGTATAGTGGAAAAATTATCAGGGCAAGTGATTTTACATGTGCCACTGTACCGGAGTACACTAGCAATTTTAAAGTTATTTCCACCCCTGGTACAATCTGTTTATACGCAGTCGTTCTGCTGCTGGAATATTGTCGAGAAACACGTTTCTCTAGCTTCTCTTGGTTGCCTCTTTGAAGGAGGGTTACACTTGACTTACACATGATACCGGAATCTAACGGCAGGAATGGTATCAAGGAAGATAATAAACTGAGAGAAACAAATAAAGGATCACAGGAAAATACAAGCATTCCTTTATTATTTTCCAATTTTCATCACCACAGCGCTATTCAAAGCTGCTGATGAAAAGTGGAAAATATTAAAGGAACGCTTGAATGTCCCTGTGATCCTTTATTTGTTTCTGTCAGTATACATATGGAGATTGATGACCAGTCGTAACTTACTGAGGATGGTTATCGTTTCAGGGGGCTGAGATTGTTCAGACCATGAACAGTGACCCGGGCGTGGCTGTCAGTGAGTGCATACATTCCCTCATATATCGTCATACTGATAGCAATATGCAAATATCATATTAATAGTCTTACTTGAATTTGAATTCTTACTTGCGTATTTATATTAAGAAGTTCATAGAGTAATGACACAGCAGGAACGTTCCTCCTATGCGTCTGAACTTTATCATCAGGTAGATAAAGAAGATAAAGTCACTGACGATAAAGTTGAATCACGTTAGATGGAAATTCGTGTTGCGTCACTTTGTGGATTCCATTAAATATGTGCTGCTGTACACGCTTAACTGTCAATATTGTTATTATAGCATGCTTATACCAAATTACACATCTCTTTATGCGTATACTGAACTTATACTATGCGTAACGGTTTAAGTCATAATTTCTCTTATTACTTACTTCGATAATATAGTACCCGTGATGGTTCGGGTTAGAATGAGCCTTCAGTAACCCATGCTTGTCGTAAGAGGCGACTAACGGGATCGGGTGGTCAGGCTCGCTGGCTTGGTTGATACATGTCATCGGCTCCCAATTGCGCAGATCGATGCTCATGCTGTTGCTCACTGGATTGTCTGGTCCAGACTCGATTATTTACAGACCGCCGTCATATAGCTGGAATATTGCTGAGTGCGGCGTAAAACTAAACTCTCTCTCGATAATATAGACATTTTCCTTCTGCCAAAGAGGCCGGCATGAGGTTGATGTACATAGAAAACCTTATTGAATGATGCTTAGGCAACTGCTTAGTTTATATAACTATAACAACATAATATAATATAATATTATACTCATTATTGGCATTACCTATCTATGCAATTTGAAAATGAATTTCAATTGTTGTTGTTAAGTAAGTTTATATCCGTTTGTGTTTCATAGTCTTTTTCACAGTAAAGATTTATTTTATAGCTTAACCTCGTTTAAGCAAAGTTGACTAGGTTTTGAACATCTACAAATTTTAAGCCTTGGAGATAATGTTTGGTCTGGTCATTTAATGCGCTGTATATGATTTCCTTACAAATCAAACGTGATAACAGAAGAGCATGTCTTTGCAAAAGGACATAGATGTAGTGCGAGTGATTCCTGGGATTTCATTTTGATAAAGACGTAAAAACTAGTGTGCAAAAATTTCTAGATAAATATATAAGTAAAGAAAAATATATGATTCTAAAATTAAATTTCTAAATTAAATCCCATCTAAACTCTGCCATAGCCAGCACTATGTATGCCAACAAAACGTGTTTCAAACAGGTTTCAACGCCTTCAGCGGCGTGGACTTCAGCGGCACTTTCTTCGTGAACACGGAGGTAGACGACGACTACGCCGGCTTCATCTTCAGCTACCAGGACAGTTCCAGCTTCTATGTGGTCATGTGGAAGAAGAACACCCAGACGTACTGGCACCCCACCCCCTTCAGGGCCAAGGCAGAGCCCGGCATCCAACTGAAGCTGGTCAAGTCGGTGTCCGGCCCAGGGGAGATGTTGAGAAACTCGCTGTGGCACACAGGCAATACTAAAGGCCAGGTTAGAAGATGGACATATTTCAATCAGTATGACCTTGCTAATCTGAACTGTTTCGGGGCGGTAGAATAGCTTAGTAGTTAAGGCGTTCGCTCGTCACGCCGAAGACCCGAGTTCGATTTCCCACATGGGTACAATGTGCGGAGCCCATTTCTGGTGTCCCCAGCAATGATATTGCTGGAATGTTGCTAAAATTAAAGCAGCGTGTAACTAAACTCACTGAACAGTTCCACTAAATCCCTCAGTGTGAATCCTCCAAATCCAGAATGGATCCCCATTAATCTTTTTGCGGACAAATGGGATTGGGTGGTCACAATGTCAGATCAATCATTGTGGTAGCTCAGCGTGTTGTGATCCAGTTGTTAGCCTTGTCTAGAATCAAGTATGTACAGGGGCTATGGCATAGCTGGAATGGTATTAGCTATGGCGTAAAATAACATTACCTCACTTTTTCCAGTATTTCAAAATCAGACAGATAATGGATCATGATGTTTTCGATTGAACTGCCGTAAATACAAATTATGGTTGGCATAACACAAAGTATCTTTCTTTGACAAATGAAAATGATGCAGAACATTTAAGGGACTGTTGTGTACAAATACGATTGCTTTCGAGACCCTTGGTTGTTTTGTAACTCTGACACAAATCCAAAGGCCATTTTCAATATTCTTTTTGTTCTTCATTTGACCGTAAATATTTACCAATTATTCTATGAATATTCTGTCGGTGTTCATAGCAAGGGCTGTTATTTCCATTTGTATTGTATGAACCTTGAATATACAAACATTGTATTCCAGGTGAAGTTGTTGTGGAAGGATGAGCGGAACGTCGGCTGGCAGGACAAGACAGCCTACCGATGGGAACTGATCCACAGACCTCACATAGGCCTCATCAGGTAGTGTATTGAGCTGATCCACTGGTCTGATCAGGTACTGTATTGAGCTGATCCACAGGTCAGATCAGGTACTGTATTGAGCCTATCCACTGGTCTGATCAGGTACTGTATTGAGCCTATCCACTGGTCTGATCAGGTTGTGTATTGAGCTGATTCACAGGTCTGATCAGGTAGTGTATTGAGCTGATCCACAGGTCTGATCAGGTTGTGTATTGAGCTGATTCACAGGTCTGATCAGGTAGTGTATTGAGCTGATCCACAGGTCAGATCAGGTAGTGTATTGAGCCTATCCACTGGTCTGATCAGGTAGTGTATTGAGCTGATCCACAGGTCTGATCAGGGTGTGTATTGAGCTGATTCACAGGTCTGATCAGGTTGTGTATTGAACTGATCCACAGGTCAGATCAGGTAGTGTATTGAGCTGATCCACAGGTCTGATCAGGTAGTGTATTGAGCTGATCCACAGGTCTGATCAGGTTGTGTATTGAGCTGATTCACAGGTCTGATCAGGTTGTGTATTGAGCTGATCCACAGGTCAGATCAGGTTGTGTATTGAGCTGATCCACAGGTCAGATCAGGTAGTGTATTGAGCTGATCCACAGGTCTGATCAGGTAGTGTATTGAGCCTGATCCACAGGTCTGATCAGGTTGTGTATTGAGCTGATTCACAGGTCACATCAGGTACTGTATTGAGCCTATCCACTGGTCTGATCAGGTACTGTATTGAGCCTATCCAAAGGTCTGATCAGGTTGTGTATTGAGCTGATCCACAGGTCACATCAGGTAGTGTATTGAGCTGATCCACAGGTCTGATCAGGTGTGTCTGATGTATGTGTATTGATCCACAGGTCTGATCAGGTTGTGTATTGAGCTGATCCACAGGTCTGATCACATCAGGTCTGATCAGGTTGTGTATTGAGCTGATCCACAGGTCAGATCAGGTAGTGTATTGAGCTGATCCACAGGTCTGATCAGGGTGTGTATTGAGCTGTATTGTATTGAGTCTGATCAGGTTGTGTATTGAGCTGATCCACAGGTCAGATCAGGTAGTGTATTGAGCCTATCCACTGGTCTGATCAGGTACTGTATTGAGCTGATCCACAGGTCTGATCAGGTTGTGTATTGAGCTGATCCACAGGTCAGATCAGGTAGTGTATTGAGCTGATCCACTGGTCTGATCAGGTCTGATCAGGTAGTGTATTGAGCTGATCCACAGGTCTGATCAGGTTGTGTATTGAGCTGATCCACAGGTCTGATCAGGTTGTGTATTGAGCTGATCCACAGGTCTGATCCATCCACAGGTCTGATCAGGTTGTGTATTGAGCTGATCCACAGGTCTGATCAGGTAGTGTATTGAGCCTATCCACAGGTCTGTATCAGGTAGTGATCCATCAGGGTTGTGTATTGAGCTGATCCACAGGTCTGATCAGGTAGTGTATTGAGCTGATCCACAGGTCTGATCAGGTTGTGTATTGAGCTGATCCACAGGTCTGATCAGGTTGTGTATTGAGCTGATCCACAGGTCTGATCAGGTTGTGTATTGAGCTGATCCACAGGTCTGATCAGGTTGTGTATTGAGCTGATCCACAGGTCAGATCAGGTACTGTATTGAGCCTATCCACTGGTCTGATCAGGTACTGTATTGAGCCTATCCACAGGTCTGATCAGGTTGTGTATTGAGCTGATCCACAGGTCTGATCAGGTACTGTATTGAGCTGATCCATAGGTCTGATCAGGTTGTGTATTGAGCTGATAGATCCGGAGGTCTGATCAGGTTGTGTATTGAGCTGATCCACAGGCCTGATTAGGTAGTGGATTGAACTGATCCACAGGTCTGATCATGTTGTGTATTGAGCTGATTCACAGGTCTGATCAGGTTGTGTATTGAGCTGATCCACAGGTCTGATCAGGTAGTGTATTGAGCTGATCCACTGGTCTGATCAGGTTGTGTATTGAGCTGATCCACAGGTCTGATCAGGTTGTGTATTGAGCTGATCCACATGCCCGATACAGGCCTCGTCAAGTAGTGTACTGAACTGATCCAGATAGTGTATGGAGCTGCTCCGTGGTTGAAGATGGTTACTGTCTTCCCATGTGAACGATGTCTTGTTGTAGGGTGCTGCTGTTCAAGGAGACGGAGCTGGTGGCCGACTCCGGCAACGTGTACGACACAACGTTGAAGGGTGGACGTCTCGGTGTATTCTGCTTCTCACAGGAAATGGTCATCTGGTCTGACCTCGTCTACAGATGTAACGGTGAGGGTTTGCCTATTCACTTTGTCACTCACAAACAATTAATAAATTTACTGAAGAAAGATAAAACGTATTCATTGAAAATGTGTTTCCTGGTTGCCATGACCATTGCCTAATTTTACTGCAACCGTAACAAAGGTGTGTGTGGACGTGTTTTATCATTATCACAAAATGGCTTCGACCCGTAAAGATCTGGGTTACTATTGGTCTTCAGTAAACCATGCTTGTCGTAAGTGGCAACTAACGGGATTGGGTTGTCAGGCTCGCTGACTTTGTTGACACATGTCGTCGTATCACAATTGCTGTTGATCAAATGGATTGTCTAGTCCAGACTCGATTATTTACCGCCGCCATATAGCTGGAATAGTGCTAAGTGCGGCGTAAAACTTAACTCATCACTCACAAAACGGATTGCCCTAGATGTGTTAAACCAATCGAATATTCTTGATGTCACGGTCCAAAAATTGTGTAAATGAGGTCACTGAACAAAAACGAAAAATAGTGAAAATCAAAACTTCAAAGGCCGATTTTTCGTCTGAAAGTTCGAGTAAGATATTTTCCCTCCTAATGAGGGTCTTGTATCAGGCATACAAAACGTTAATCGCATATGGTAACTTGTATTCATGTTGTATTGTATTTACACCATTATATAAAAGCGAAAAATACATTTCCACACAATAAAAACTGTAACAGATACAAATATTTATCACTGTGCATGATTTCTGATTGTTTGTTCCCTGTCATGTTGGTAATTGTTTCCACATCATGGATTTATTGTTTTTTGTATTTTTCTTCAGAATTTATCCCTCCTGGGCTTCTGGAGGACGAGGATGAAGAGTATGAATACTACGAATAGGTGTCACGTGATCTTGTCACGTGTGAATATATTAACTGTAGACAGGCTGTCACATCAAATTTATACTAATACTCAACCACAAAGGAGAAATATTTGCATTTTCAACTGTTCTTGACGAGTGAAATATAGTTCCGTCCAATGCCAGCTCGAAAATGATGAAACTGCAGTCGACCATTTTGAGAGATGGAGAAGAGAAATGTACATACATTTTCCTCATATACTGAAATGTAATTTCATTAAGAAGAAGCAGTTATTGTGATTTTTTATTCAACATTCACAACAGGTTATATTTTTATGATTCATATCCATGTAAATTTTTACTTTTTTGGTTTTGTACATAAAACATAGGTACAGTAAAGAGATCGATCTCAAATCTGTTTTGTTCTTTGTTTAAAGTCGAACTCAACTTGTTCCGAAACACCACCATGGAGGCGATGTTTCTGTCAGGGCGTATGCAACTAGACAAAACTTTAATACGTAACATTGATACAGTATAATCATTTCATTAATTCGGAGGGACTGACTGAGGATGCACCATTTCATTATATTAATGGCATCTGAGAGGAAATGAGCCGCGGCTTCTATGATTCATTTGTTCGAAATAAGGAAAAGATGTTTTGCATCTTAGGTTTGCCTTATAAATGACTATAGGTGAGGTGAAATTGGGTTTAACGTCGTGCTTGAGAATATTTCGCTCATATGAAGACGTGCATGCGTGTATGTGTATGTGCGGCTGCTTGTACTAGCCCAGACTGAAGCTGGTTTTATAGTGCTAGCCCACTGAGATACCATGCCGCAGTGAAGCATGAATACCCTACTCAGACACATTATACTGACTCCGAGCCGACCAGTCCTTGTTGTACCCATTAATGCCGAGCGCCAGGCAGGGACCAACAAGTACCATATTTTAACGTCTTTTAGTATGACGCGGTCGGGGATCGAACTAAATGACTAAATGACTATAAACACTGTGCATGTTGCTATGTAAATATTTTTTTCTCGAAATTTACATTCAATTGTCTTTATTGAGTCTCTGGTAGAAGGCACTGATCCTCTTTCGACATGTAAAGGTTGACCATGGCTTGGCGAAAACGCAAAAATTTTATTGCCAGGACTGAAATTCTGTCTTGAGACTTCTTGTCATAATGTATTTTCAACTTGTTCTGAGATTCTTTCAAACTATGCCTAGCGACTAAACGCGCTTCCGAAAGCCTAGTCAGAAATGATGAAACATAGTCCACCATACTCATTTCAGACCTATCATTGAGCCATTGCTCTTGTTCTAAGGGGCCACGACAATGAGCAAGAAAATGGAATGTTGTACCTCAGTGGAAATCGCAATGTGTCACAGATGAGAATACTGGTATTATAGCTATGACAATGGTTAATGACGGTAATGACAATACAGAATGTCATCGATAGGAAGGGTTTATACAATCCCCACAATAGCAAACCCAGACACCAAGTCAGTCTTCAACCTGAAAATATGGAGAGACACACTTCATTGGCGGATCCAGAGGGGGGTTGGGGTTGCGAACACACACACACCCTTGAAAATGACTTAAGACCCCATTGAAGATTCGGTTTCCTATACAAATATGACAGTCAAACGGGCATTTTACATTACGCTCCTTAATTCAAATGCTTGCTCAGAGTTTGTTTCAGAGGAGACTGCATTTTCAAAAATTAGCTGAAACAATCAAACCCAAGTCATTAAATATAATATGACGCAAGACTTTTTTTTCTCATTGTAAAAGACAGACCGACAGACAGATTTATTACAGTATAAGGCCTCGGGCCCAAAATACAGTATTGAAATCGACTGATAATGTATATTGTATGCATTAGTTTTAAAGTTCATGAGTTTACACGACGTGCTTTGAACACGTTGTACAGGAACATAGCTGTAGCTTGAATTGTCTTTTATCAGTGGATTGCATGAGCTGAGAAAATTTATGCAAAGTTGGCTAATATAGGTGATGATGCTTGGCACAACACAGGAGAACATTGTATTCATCATCTTCGATGAACTTTGCATTATTAGTTGCACAAATTTCACATATTCTGTATGCTTTTAATATTGCACTCACATAACATCAGCGAGGGAAGGTGGTTATTTTCTTCTCAGACTGAATAAGAGGTCAGTGGATGTTGTTTTAACAAAAGCTATGTAAAATAAGTCGTTAGGATGATATGCAATGTGCTCGGTGTTATAATTAGTTGGAAGGGAGATCGAGTCAGGTACGAGGGCAACTACGGTGCAAGGTTTTAACTTTTGACAAACAAGGACACGCGAGACGAGACAAGTATGCCCTCAGAGTCAAATACGGTTAGTAGTTTTAAACTTTGATAAGCGCTAAACTGTTGGAACAATCAAGGACACGCGTGCTGATATTTGATATAGTGTTAAAGCCCATGCAGGAGGTTACAAGGAAACGTGTAGTGGAAATAGAAGCGACAAAACCCTTTCCACGTCCATAAGAAATATCTCCTAAAAGCAGAGTGGATTGTACAGTTGTGACGAAATCTTGAGCACCCGTCCGTTTCAGCAGTATTACAGCTGTACGATGTTGTTTGTAAACAAACCGAGTCGTGAAGTCATTTGTCTAATCCACTACTTCAAGAGCTTATATATATAATTGTTCCTGTATTGAAATGCAAGTCAAGTATATAAATATGATATTGCTAAAGAAGAACCTGTTGTGACAAGAAGTATTGCTTTTGTTTGAAAATGATTTCATTTTATATAAAAGTGAATATCGCAAAATGTATTTCTTTACCTGAGAATTGAAAAAGTTTTCTTTGATATGGACATAACTGCTTTAATCACTATGGAGAAAACATCACGTGTTTTTATGGCATTGTGCATGGAAGAAGTAAATGTACATAAAATTCTCCACAGACAGGGATATGATGAGAGAGGGAGTGACGAGCGGACGCTTTAACCATTATAGGCTACCCATGGCTCCCGTTGTTGTGTACAAACAAAGAATGCATGATGATATTTCTTCCTCTATCTTTCTATCGCATTACGCTTCTATCAAAACTCACTTTGAACCTGAATTTATTCACATGATCTGTCAAAAATACCATTCAAAGAGTTATTTAACTGTCCTTAACAATAAAGCACTCATTCGTGACCTATATAAACTTAGAATTTCCCACCACTTCTTTTGGGTATACAAGAATTAAGGAAAAACATGAGCCTGATTACTCTAAGATTGTATGCAAAAGGTGTGAAAGTAATTATACTGAAAACGAATACCATGTACTATTATATACTGAGTCAAAAAAGAAACTTCACAAAATGTAATTTGAAAAATAATGAATAATTTTTCTCTGATGATACATCTATGTATCCGAAATGGGATCCCTATCTTTCGACTCTAGAAAAATGTTAGCAAAACCCACTCAAACCCATCCATTCGTCGTGCAAATGACGTTAGTGCCAAATCAGGTTTTGCACGTGCAGTCGATCACGTGATCTTCGCATCGAAGTTTTCTTCATATGCACGTGTTTGCATTGGCCTCAAGAATTGAAAAAACACTTTTAAACCACAGTTCTAACGGTACTTGAAATGCCAAGATTGTCAAATGTGCAACGTGAACGTGCCGTTGGCATGTTGCAAGCGGGAAGATCAGTTATTGACGTCGCAAGAGCAATGGGATGCAGCCGTCGTACTGTGTATGACTTGCGAGGTCGTCTACAACAAACTGGCACCACTTCTGATCGCCCAAGGTCGGGTCGTCCACGTGTGACGTCACGAGCAGAAGACCGTCAAATCGTCCTACGTCACCTACGTGACAGATTTCTGCCGGCTACACGAACCAGGGCTGAGATGTTTAGAGGTCGACTGTCCTCACAGACCATTCGAAATCGGTTGCGGGCTGCCAATCTCCATTTTCGACGTCCATATCGTGGGCCAATATTGACGCCGTTTCATCAACGTCAACGTCTGCTGTGGGCCCAACGTCACCTCCGATGGACCCAGAGAGACTGGAATCGAGTCGTCTTTAGCGATGAATCCAGGTTTACCCTCAGATTCGCGGACGGCAGGCATAGAGTCTGGAGACGACGTCGTGAACGGTATGCCCAATGTTGTGTACAGGAAGTCAACAGATTCGGGGACGGAAGTTGCATGGTGTGGGGTGCTTTCTGTGGGAACAACCGTTCCCGACTTCTGGTCATCCGTGGAAACCTCACAGCTGCTGCTTACCGCGACCAGGTGCTCACCCCTGAACTCGTTCCTTTCATGGCGGTTAATGGCCCAGGTCTACAGTTCCAGCATGATAATGCTCGGCCGCATACCGCGATGTTGACACGAAATTTCCTTCAAAACGCTGGAATCAACGTCATGGACTGGCCATCGAGGTCCCCTGACCTTAATCCAATAAAGCACGTTTGGGATGCACTTGGGAGAAGGCTTCGTGATCTTAGGAACCAACCTCAGAATTTGCAGGAACTTGGCGCTGCCTTGCAAGAGCAATGGCGCAGAATCCCCAACCACGTGTTCACAAGCATCAGGCAGTCGATGAGGAGACGGTGTTTGGCAGTGGTGAATGCGCGGGGCGGCCATACACGATATTGAACTGAGATATTTCGCATTTTTATTCTTGTGACTTGACATTCTGTATACCCATGTTTTGGAACGGCGGTGTAGCCTAATGAAACTGATTATGGCACTGTCAGTGTATCGAGTACATCACACAGATCTCAGCAATGAAATAATAACAATTTAACCATCTTACCATCTCTTGTTCTTTTATAGTGCCCTGAAGAAAGAATGTGAAGTTTCTTTTTTGACTCAGTATATTTGAACGTTATGCATTAACTAATCTTAGAAAAACATATTTATCTCCGCTGAATCAATATGTAGCGCAGTATCATGTAATGACTAACATAGTAAACATAAACGATTTACAAAGTCTGTATGCAATTGCATCATTAATAAATCAAATATTTTCTTACATCTGTAGATCTAAAATCTAAATCCACGTGACAAAATACATTAAATTGTATATCATTTTTACACTGGGTTGCAAAGCATACATACATGTCTGTCATGTATTAGGAATACTATTTCAGTATATAATTATTATACAGCGTTTCGGTTTACAGCTATTTATCAGTTTTTTTACCGATAAAATCTGCAATTAACTCGACTCAGCTACATTGATCGGAGTTGCCTCTCTTAGACCGCCTTGTAAAATGTAGGATGACAAAATGAAGCGTTGTAAAATAACACTACCGAACCTCCTTTTAGCTGTGTGTGAGTGTGTGAGTTTAGTTTTACGCCCCGTTTAGCAATATTCCTGCGATATCACGGCGGGGGACACCAGAAATGGGCTTCACACATTGTACCCATGTAGGGA